CTCTCCCACTCTATGCAGCGCTTTCGCACCCTCGTCATATATTTTTTTCTCTTCATACATCCCGCTGATAATTACGTTCAAATGCTTTTGTTGGAGCATTTTAGTTTTTTTTTTGTTGTTGTGATGCTCATTATTGGTGCGAAAAAAAACTTTTCCATTCGGTTGGAATGCCGTAAAATATATTGGTTTGACGTTCATCTTTTTTTTTTGCGAGCACAATATTTTTAATTCAATATTATGACTGTTGTCGACTTCGTACGCACTGTCTCTATGGGTGTCTACGAGTGTGCTATTATCTTTGTGAACAACAAAGAATTTTTTGACCTAGGCAAGTGAAAATGAACAGAATCAACGACACACAGCAAAAAGTAATAGAGAAAGAACGCGAAAGAGTATAAAGGAAAATTTAAAAAGCAAAAATAATACGCAACACAGACATTGAGAGAATTGACATCCTCGATGTGTCGCAGAATGTGTGTGAACATTTTAATTTTAAATGTTTGGCTGCATCAACACATACGCATGATCATCAAACCAATGTCTAATCCAATGTTCGAGTATATTTTTGTTGAATTTACGCGCTTCATTTGATTGACGCGTCAACTTAATACATATATGGATTAACTCACTGAGCACCTCAAAAAAAACGCTCATTTGCGGTTAATACTTTTCCATGTATGAACGAATAAATACATGAATTCATTTTTTAAATATGCGTTAAAAAGATTCTTATCTCGAAAAAATACTGATTTGTCAGTCTATAAAATGATATTCGAAATAATTGATGCGACAGCATGTGTTGTGTCGCTTAAACTGAATGAGATGCCGACCATTCACTTCGTTTAAACATCTCCGATCGTTTGACCTCTACCGATTCTCGTGTTCTTTTTTCTACATATAAACAAACATGAATATTACTCTTCGTTGTTTTCTCTTTTATTGCTAAAAAAGGGAGTAGCTTTTTTGAACTGATAATTCGTTTTGTATTTGATAATTGGCGCGCAAAGACAAGCCGACACTTGGTGTAACTGCTGTTTACTAAACAACACATTTTATTCACTATCCCTCTCTTTCGTTTGTTCGCTAGAAGAAAAAAAAGACAAACCAAAACAAAAAAATCATTGTTAATTGATTTATAATCAAAAAACAAATAATTAACTTTTTCAGTAAACATTCCAAATAGAATTTTCTTGAATTTGGGCAATAAAACGAGCCACATATACATACATCAAAAATACTTTCATTCTGGTTTTTTTTTTATATAGAGGCAAACCAACATAAGAGAGTATGTTTGTGAGTATGTCAGTTGCACACTATGAAATTATCTTTATGGCGCTACATTGTAAACAGACGCTTGATTGCTTCTTTTACTCTTGGTGATAAGGTCAGTGGAGTTTTTTTTTGCTTTTCGCTGATTTTATGGTTTTTAACGTCTAACGATGAATCAAAATGATGCGAAGTATTGAAGTGGTTGAAGTTCAAATATTGATTGCATTTTGAATACACAAGATTATCATAAGGACATTTTTTATCAATCAAAATACAACCTTTTCAACCCAATGAAATTTATTTGCCGTTTCAGATTCGTTTTTTTGCCATGTAAAGCTAATTAAGAATGGACCTTTTCATGGATCTCTTTCTCTCCCCGGGATGCATTTTTCGGTGATTTCTACTTAAAATGAATAATCAAAGTCCGTCAATCATCAAAGATTGTATTGATGAAGGAGATTAAGGCTACATGAAGTTCATTTTCTTCACTTTAAATGATATTTTTTAATAATTAATTGGATTTTACACAGAAAAATATTAAAAATAAAAAAAATGCGTTAAAGTTGCGATTTAGATTCGCAAAAAAGGCGAAGATAACAAGAAATTATCTCCAACGAATAGTTTCAATCGATTCTTTCGATATTCAAGTAACCTTTGCTCTCTACTTTTTCTTCATACTTAATAAATATGCAATTGATTCGTAGTCATTAATTCATTGCGTCGGATTTATAGATTAGAACTCCCACTTGTTGAAATGGTCGAAAAAGACTGTTGCACGCTTATAATCTTGCGTCGTAAGCTCAATTAACGGAATAAATTAAAGCAAATTTATTGTACAAAAAAATGTGCGCCATTATCTTGTGTGAGTGGCATAATTAAACGTAAGAGAGTAAATGATGAGCGCTCGTGTGAGAAATTTGTTGATGGATCAACAGCTTATAAATAATAACGAGATAAATAATACGACGATGCAAGAGATCAAGTGCTAATGAGAGTTGAGGAGCTATCATGTGCGTGTGTATAAATCAGTCATTAATAAGAATTTCATTGCAAGTTCAAAACACCGTGCGAAATCTACGCGCATATGTGTATATTCATTTTTATGTAATTGACATACCGTATTATTTGCTTATGAATCAAATAATCGAAACGGTCATAAGCGCTCAACACCATTTTTTTTACGATAATATGAGACCATATCAAATCGTTTCGAACGATTTACAAATCTTTGCAATTTATTTGCAAATTTTTGCATCACTTTGATTGAGTCAAGTTGACACTCACGTCAAATTCATCCAAGTGGAATAGACATTAAATCAATGCATATAAATCAAATCGGGTTTTGTTGTTTTTATGCATTTGTTCAAAATTTGAACTTCACATACTCAAGCACATTGCCTGTTGTATGTACAGATCAATGTTCTTGAAAGTTTTGGTCGTTTTAGAGCTTTTTTTGATTCAATTTTTCAAATTTTATTGTTTTCTTTCATCCTTTCATGATATATTTTTCTATTTTCATTCTCTTTTTAATTGCAGTTTTTTGTAAAAAAAAAAAACATCTTTTATCGAACGAAAATGAAAACGCTGTTTTTCGTTCAAATTCCGCGTTTGCATAGGTGTTGACAAAGATTACTAGGGTTCGGATTAACCTCCCGAACATTTTTTGGAATGTTTTTATTCTTGAGAACCCTAGATTCTTTTGATTTGCTAGGGATTTTTGAGCCTCGCAATCAATTTTTTACCGAGTGGGACCAAAACCCCCTTTTTGCTAGAGGTTTTGCTGGGGGAATCCCTTTTACACTAGATAAAAGAGAGTCTTGTACCCTCTACAAAATTGTGTCATCACCCCTCCTAAAAAAATTCCCGTCCACGCCTATTTCTTTTTTGATATTTTGTTATTAATGGTAAACTTTGAACTCATTCATTCACTTCGTCAAAAAATAGCCGATATTTTCGGCGAATTACTTCGAGTCGAAATTCAAAAGAATCCTGGTCAATGTGTGCAAAAAGTGTCTAATTGAAGTGTCCAAAAGTAAAATTATTGATTGTTTTTGTTTTTGTTATGTCGTTAAAGTCCAACGTCAGAAGTTCACAATGCTCATTCACGAAAAGAGTAATGGCCTGGTTTTTTGGTAATACGCCAATAAAAAGTAAAAATACTCAAACACGAAAAAAAAGTGTCAATGTGTTTCAGGTAACGCATTTTTTTTTCGCTTCAAGCATGGTCATAAATTTTCGTTCCATATCATCAAATGACACAAGTTTCAAGTATTGATCATCGCTTTTTTGTTTCATGTGTATACGTACAGACTTAAATTCCATCATCGTCCGGTGTTCACAATGTGAATTTGCCATTCGGATTAAATGGATTTTTGGCAGTTGGATTTGTGTTTTCGTTTGTTTGAAAACATTTGAAAATTGAATTGGCGCCAGTCGTTCTGTGTCATGACCCATGCTGTTTCACCGGTATTTCAATGGATAAATTATTGTAAATAACTTGAAATTTAAATCGCTATCTGAATTAAACAATCAATAGCGGCTATCGACCAAGAGTGAATCATTTTTGTGATGATGAAAACGGCGAAAAAATCAACGGTGTAAAGTAACAATTGAACAAATCGTAATCGCATGAAAACCACAAGTAAAAAATACAAGACGAATTTAGAGAAAGAGAGATTGATTAACTATTTCGGCTAAATATAACTGTGAAACAATGTATGGGACGCGTTTTATTGTACACTTGATAACGAAAAACGGTTTTTATAATCTTCTATTTTGGATGCGTGTAAAACAGCATGTACATGTATGTACAAGAGATTTTTCCGATTTGAAGGTGTGTGAACAATTTCAATAGAAAAAATTATCATAGCGCATCCAAAATGTTTGTTCTTCGAACTCAAAGTGCTGTTATGTGCAAATTTTCCGCTGAAATCTACTTTGCACAAACACTAAGAATGAAAAAGAGAGTAAGATTTAGCCAGAATTTAGACATTTTACAAAACAGTAAACCATTTTGATCTCTAGATGCATCATGGTATTGTTTCTGGCTTGCGTCTTTATTCTAGTGTTTGCCGTTTTGTTTGTTGTATTTAATTGCTTTTTATCTGATCCAATAGGATCAAAGAGCATTTAATTTAGTTGTAAGCAGCATATTTATTAGAAACAACAACTCAAACAGAAACAGCGACCGTAGTAGTAGCACCAACGGATGGGCCGTCTACACGACAAGCGGTCGTACGGCAGTGTGGTAAGACAAGGACAGAATCAAGCACTTGTATGTGTGTGTATCAATTCAAATACTGTGTACACACAAATGACTACTAACCTCAATATGAACAAAAATTGACATAAAACTCGATTTATCCGAAGTCTCAACCGTTTTTGGGATAAATTTTAGCTCAGATTTTTTCCGCTCAAATATTTAAGTGCTCAACATATATCACTTTGGCATTTGAGCGGGAAAAATGCATACTAAAATTTATACCAAAAACGGTTGAGACTTCGAATAAATTGAGTTTTATGTCCATTTTTGTTCATATTGAGGTTAGTTGTCATTTGTGTGTATGAATAAACGTATACCACAAGCTCATAAATAGACATAGAAAATGTAGCAAAACAACGAATAAAATCCTTCATTTTGCTTCGACCATTTCCCATCTCATGCGGTTTGTTCGTTACTGATATCGATAGCTGATTATAATTTTCGACTCGAGCTCAACTGTTGCCGAACACAAACGGCAAAGTGTGAGATACTCACATTCGCTTGTAATCGAAACATTCATTTTCTATCACAAAATATTTCGAATGAATATATGTATATCGTGTGTACCTCACTGTGATTTCCGTGACACACAAAAAAACCAAAATACAAGCCTGAATCTTTCACGTTGCTTGAAAAAGGCACGCATTTATTGGTAGCCGTAGCACACCGTGTCTCTTTTGCTCTCGCTTACTCCCAATTACACACGGAGACAAGACGAATAAAAAAAAAACCTGTAACAATTTATGTATATATATACATAAGAGCCAATAAACACCGATTCATATATACATTTTTTTCGTCTTTGTTGTTTGTTGTTGCTGATGCTGCTATTGATTTGAGCTACCGTTTCCTTTTTGTTCTTATTTTAAATACAATCCAGTTTCAGTTGCAAGCCGACCAGCACACTTATTATCGTTTTTCCGCGAGAGTTTTTCATTTTTAAACGCCGTCATTTTAACGTTTTTGTGCGTTCGCATTTTGGATTTTTTTTATATATTTTAAAATTTTATATGCAATTTTCTTTGATAAATTTCATTTCCACAGACAAAATCGTGTTAACATTTGGAATGCAATTGAAAGCAAAAACATCTAATGGGAATTGTGTGGACGTGCATTTAAGGCCACAGTGACAGTGAATTATAATAGGTCTTGTTTCAATTTGCAATTACAAGTGCTTTGCCCAAAATAACAAAATATTCCACCTGCATAATATACGGAGAGCTTTCCTCGTCAAACAATAAAATCAAATGAAAGTAATTACGTGTGATTGACGTCCACGCAACAAAATAAATGTAAACAATAAATGCGCAAACAATAACACTGACTACATTATCTAGAAGTGCATTTCGAAATGTAGCGCTTTTCATTTAAATGAAGAAATCACAATGATGTGTCATGTATTTTGATAGATCATCTCACAACATTGCGTGTGAATTCGAACTAAACCGGGTAGAAACTTTAATTAAACAAAGTTTTATTTAAATTATTGAAGAAAAACGAAACCGTGTGCGCTCTTTAGTTTGACAGATAGAGATCAAGATCATCATGTGCATTTATAAATAAAATGTACACAGTGAATATCGGTTAGATAATGTCAGTTGTTAAATTGAGTGTTAAACAAACCAATGAATTTCAATTGAAATTTTCATATCAAAAATGTGATTAAATTACATTATTTTCATTCCATTCATTCAATAAATCGAAAAGTGATATGAATACATCAACCGGCGAAGTGTATGACATTTAAAAGAAGAAAAAAAATTGCGTGAAAACTGGCGCCAGAGAGTTTCAAGAGAAAAAAGAACAAACAGATAAACTTAGCTGAAGTGCTATCAAAGCGTAAAAAAACAGAAAGTTATTTTGTGGGCGAAAGAAACGGAGAAAAAGAAGGTGGTTGCAAAATGGAGAATATTACTGATTCGAGTCTGGGGAGTCGATTGTTTGAAGATTCAACCGCAACATCGGACGATATCATTCACGGTACGATCAGTAGCATCAACGATATGAAAACCACTTGTTTGATACTGACAAAATCAAATTCATCGCAGGTAAAAACCATTATTCATTTCGTTTTGATAAAACATCTCTTTCTTTCATATCTATCTCGTTTCATCGCCGAAAAAAAGAAGAATGAACGCATTTTAAATCGTCAGCGTCGATAAGCACTCAAACTCACACATTCATGCACGCACTCGTCTTCTGGCGTTCACACACACCTGTGACTACTACATTTTGAGAGAATGATAAGAACAGACAATTTTACACGATACCAATTCAACAATCAACATTCACAAATATAAGACTATAAACAAGATAAAATAAAGAAGAAAATAACAAGCAGTTGAGTGCGGAACGTACGGAAATGAAAATTGTTCAAGAGCGCACTTTAATGAAGTGATGAGTGTACATCAAACGGAATATGAACAAGCGAAAAGACAGCGAGATGTATACGCGAACCATGTAAATCGACCGGAATTAAAACGCATTTGCTTTATCCACCAGACAACATCACTCATTCATTATTGCAAAACATAGATCAGGCTATCGGTTGGAAAAATACGGTTTTATTTGAAAATTACAGAAGCAAGATATTGCACTCACAGAGTCAGTCACTTTAAAAGTAATTCCAATTTTAGAACAAATCATCCATCAGTTCAGAGTCTCCATTGAAATTAGAATGTATACAGTATTTTTCGTAAAGATTTGATTGAGTTTTTTTTATTTTCTGCTGGTTTTATTTATTTGCGTTTGTCATTTGCAGATGAGAAAAAAACGAAACAAATATTCAACAATTCAATTGGTAAACCATTCTGTAATTTTTATTATCATATTGTAGTCGGCATTTTGGTTGGCATTACATCATCATCGACCTCTGCCCAAAACAAATGTGATTTATCATTTCGCAAATCTATTTGCCCACATAAACCAATATGCACCCCATTGTGAAAATATTTTGATACATTTGATTTAATTAAGTTCTGTTTAAAATAAAAAAGTGGTCTTTTTTCATCTAAATTATAACTATCGAAGATTTTCCGAATGAAACCAACTTTTTTCGAGAAAAATTTCAATTTGATGAAATGTTCATGCAAAATTAAATTAACAATTTCAAGTTATCATATATCATAAGAATGTAAATCAAAATGAAACCCGTAATTCTCTTAGTCGATAAACAAACGTATACTTTTCACAATATTTTTCGCAAATTATGCGTAACTGATAAAAAGATAATAATCTTTAGTAAGGTTGTAGAACATGACAATGAAAAGTACACTGAAACATTTTGTTTGTAACCTACTTGGCCACAGTTACGCGCACGGATTTTTCTTTGAATTTTTACACCTGGGTATCTTATTTCTAAAAAAAGTGAAAAAACACAGATTCTGGCCGGAAATTACCCCTTTACAAATTGTGGATTGGAATTCACCCCCCCCCCCTCTAGCTAGAGATTTTCATTGGGAAAGTGAAGACCTTTTTTTGGACCATCAATTTATTTTTGGAAGACCCCAAATCACCCCACCTAGCACCCCACAGATTGCACCAAAGATTAACAAATTACACAATTGAATTTTTTTTAAAATTACGCCTCCCTTGGATCGTAACCGTCAGAAGCTATGAAAACAAAAGAATGGTGAAAAAAGATCCGTCGTATTTTACACTGCATGAATTAGCAGTGCAGAATTGGAATGTCGTTTTGATTTGTACAATGTGAATTGAATGATGTCAAACAATGGCATATATTGTAAAAAATGCTTCTCATTGTGCCGTTTACTTGTCTTGCTGTGATTTTACCTCTTGACGAAAATGCTTCGAATAATTGCGATGTATATTTTTCTCCATTTATCTCTCTTGCTCCGGCACCGTGTATGTTTGCGGTTCTCTAAATCTACAACCATCATTCGTTACATATTCCAGATAAGATAAAATGGGAAGAAAAAAAAACAAATATACGAAAAAAGCGACTGAAATATTTTCCGTCTCGTTTCCACGCAATGCCTAGGCAGAGTAACATTTCACCCAGTTTTTCCACATGAGTTTTTTTTAAATAATGATAAACATATCAGATGAAGTCTCAAATATGCCGAGAAATATATGGAATGAGCACACGGCTCCAAAATGAAAGCGAAAACAAGACCAAAAACAACAGCATCGTATGTATACGTAATTGTAAATAAAGTATGCGGGATATGTAGTGGATTTTTCTTATATTTACTCAACATTTATAAATGTTTCTGCGCTCATTCTCATTTTTTTTCTCGCCACGCTCTTAAATTCTTTGGTGCTCGATTTGCTTGCTATGCATCACATGCTCAATTCACAATGTGTCTCATGGTTTTTGTTTGCTTCAACATTTTTTTTTCTTGATCACTTGCTCCCTAGATATCCATTTTGCTCAATTTGTTGTTCGAGATTGTATTTTTTTTCCTCTTTATATTCAGATTAATTATTTATTATTTACATGGAACACAATTTTTTACATTCTACTTTTGCTCACCCCTCACCTTCTCTCTTGCTCTCTCATGAATTTCACCTTTTAAAAAAAAATAAGAAAAGGCAAATATGTAAATATATGGACCCATTTATTTTCAACCTTGACGAAGCATTTTCAATACGCTAAATTCCGGCGTGGCGGCTCAACGCACTTCTTCTTCTTCTTCCTTTCCTGTTTGCCACTGCTTCCTCATAATATATCGATCGGAATCAATTTCGGAAGCAACAATCAAACCAAGTGACCACCGAAAAATATCGTACAATTTATCATTGCCCAGTTTCTCAATTCAAAATCCAATTCGATTGATTTGATGCCAAAATGGAAACAAAAAATTCGAAGTCAATTTCCAGCTGGGTTTTAGGTTTTACATCAACTCTGATCTATATATGTATATAAACAGAATTTGCGCAATGAATAAACAAAACGCCGGTTTATAATCACACGTCGCGTCTTCTTCATTTTCTTCTTCATCGGTAAAACTTCTTTTTTTTCTGTCGAAATGTGTGAAAAAAATTGGCCTGTGTTGTTTATCAAAATAAGCCGATGAAAAACATTCAACTTCTATTCTTATTTCGCTCTTTTTTCATCGGCTATGCAAGCTCTGTTGCCAATTCGATATTCGAAATAAAAATTGAACTTCCGACTTTTTTTCTTGGGCATTTTGTTGATTCTTTTCTTTTTTGCTCTTTTCACATTGATCAACTGACTTTTTTATCGGTTGTTTTTCTGTTGCTTTGTCGCTGTTGCGGACTCTTTATCTCAACGCTTACAGTTCGTGTAAATTATTACACATTCAAATATAAGAAATGCAAACAAAACAAAAATCCATGGAAATAGACTGTTAAGCATTTTAGAATGAATATTTTTCTTTCATCGTTCCCTTCAATTAAATGCGGAGCACTTTTTCTAGGTCTTCGTTTTATTTTGGGTTTATTTGACGGAATTGTTCTTTTGGTGGCGAAAATTTTTAAACGAATAAAGAAATAAAAATGGAAAAGAGGAAGGGGAGGTGGCAAAATGAGTGAAAAAAATGAAAAGAAAATTTTAGGTCAAAGAGAACAAGAGAGAGATTGGTAAATAGAGAACAGGGTGGAGAGGTAGCAAAAAAAGAGAAAAGACATTGAATATAAAATAGAGACTGGCAACGGTAACAGCTTGTTTCTAATTGAACTGATTTTCTTAAATAAAAAAAAAGCACACACGCGCTAAGCTGCATTTGGTCGCCTCTAAAGTCCATAGGCTGTCAGCACATGCCGTTTTTTCGATTCGTTGTCGTTGTTGTATTATTTTTTCCGTCTTCATCATGTTTTTCTTCACATCATTGTTCGTTGTTTACATGGATATTCGCATAAAATGTCGAACAAACTGGTATCGTTGAATATAAATAAAAATCGACGGCCAAATTATGTTCATGAATGTGAGAATTATGCTTCGAATTTCGATCAAATATTCTATTCCGTCGAATTAATTGGCGGAGAAAGAAAATGCTGATCTGAAATTAAAACGATTTTTTTGTTTAATTTCATATATTCTCATATCATATCAGTCATCGTCGTGAAATTGACGATATTGAAAATTAAAACATCTCTACCAAATTGAATTCAAATCGTATTGAATAATTTTCCATCGACGTATAAATGTAAACAATAAAATTGCGTTGGTTTTATGTTAATTGAAGTCGGTTATTTATAAAATAAACCACGATTTGGATTTGAAATTAACAAGAAGAAAAATCGATTTGCATGCTTTGTGTGAGATGAGATAGAAATATATAAACCAGTCGCACAATCCACAGGAGTTCACAATGTATCGAATGAAACATATTCTTTTTGCGTAAATTCAACTGTTTTAAATTTATTCATGAATTCAATTATTTTATATTGATTTTTCGAACATGTTTCGTGTCAAGCAAAACGATCAAAGCTTATGCAAAGAGATTCATTTTCTGGTTTAACAACAATGCCATTTAATTTCCATTATTTTTCTTTCACAATACAGGCGAATACATCGATCGGATGTCCGATTGAATTCGATTCCATTTCATGTTGGCATAACACACCACCAAACACATCCGCAATCATACAATGTTTTTCGAAAATGTCTGGCATTAACTATGACAGTTCAAGTGAGTATAAAATTACATTTTCTAAAAAAAAATCATATTACATATTTAGAACAGACACAATTTCGCAACTTCTTTCGCTGAAAGTTCATTCAACCGTGATGATGGAAATTGGCCAGAGCAATGAACATTTCAAATCAGACAATATAATATTGTATGATATTAATAAGGGTCGAGCACATAAACATACGACGAAATATGCCTATCTTGTTTACATCAAAAAAGATGATGACCTTGTCTATCAGTTTCAAGAAAACTTCTTCTTTTTTTCGGAACAAATTTATGTCACCTTTTTTCTAGGCATGAATTATGTCGCATGATATAGATAGGAAAACTTTTAACGAACACACTGACACACAATATGAAATTGCAAACAATCTGATTCAGTGATTCCAGTTGGATTGATTAAAACACCGAACTTTTAAGGAATGAAACCACATGAATAATGGTCAGCTACCAACAAAACGCATTCAAATTTACCGTGATATACCTTTCTTTTTTAGAAGGGAATTCATACAATGATTTTTAGATAGGATAGATGCGTAAGATCACCGCAAGATCCAGATCCAAGCGTGCGTACGCTGCCGCATGATGCATACATATATAATACGCACGCAAATTCGTTATTCTTATTTCCCCTTCTTTGATTCGCATGCCATAGCATTACGGAGTAAGGAATGTATGTATCATGCGGCTACGTACGCACGCTTGGATCCGGATCTTGCGAAGATCTTACGGATCTATTCTATCCAAAAATCATTGTATGAGGGAATTTTATGATTTCAAAATTGAATTGATTTCATCCTGAAATGTATGTTAATTGCTTTATCATCGTAAATATTTGTAAATCTTATTTTGTCACCTACATTCTGACACTCATCAAGGCTGTGGGTATTCTAAAAAATGTGGTTGGAAATGTAGCGAAACTTTCAGAAAGTGCTTTGTACCAAAAAAAAACATGTATGCAAAATTTTACATTATTCCGATATCGCAGAAGCAGATGCATGGATTCAATACAAAAATCCACATTTCTTATAATTCAATCAAATCAATATCAATATTTATTGTAATTGTAAGATAAAAGCCACATTCAGTTTTCTCATGTCAAAAATCCCGGAAAACAGATTTTCGCAATAGTCAAAACACCAAAAGAGGGAAAACCTTAGGAATTGAAAAATCTTGGTTAACTTGAATTGATCCTATCAAGTGGTTTCAGTCCCACTTCATAAGATGAAAAGTATCTCAAACGTGTTTTTTATCTATTGACGACACCATTGTAAAGAGTTGGGTTTATTTGCACATTTTATTCGTATTTTTATTCATAAAAGATACAATTTCATTTTTTTAAAAGTAAAAATGTTCGTATTTCTCGATTACTCGACGATTTTCTGACATTTTTTATGAGTAGACCAAACCTTCTATTGATTCAATTCTCTCTTGAATTCGTTCAATCTAATGAAAAAGCTCTTTAGCGTGAATCTCAAATTTTTCAAGTGGACATGATGAATTTGTTATAGTCGGTGTTGATGCAACTCTTACGACGACGGCGCTTATACGTTTATTTCCTTTGAATTTTTCCAGAAGGTTATTCAAGTGAATTTTCAAAAAAGACCTCCTATATTATCAAATTTATTCGAAAGATAAGCCACTGAGCTATTAATATATTATACAAATCGATTCTATCGGCTCTTCTATTCACGAGTTAAATGGGATACTTGGTCCATAATTGTTGATGGAATTTCAAGGGGATATTCATACTAGGGAAACTAGTGAAACTAGCAGCAATTAGCAGTAAAAAAATTTATACACATTGTATATGTTTCATATAATATGAAGAGCCAACTTCACGCACTATAAAAACTAGAATTTTTTTTTGAAACTAGAAATTGCATGAATATCCCCCTGTGGAATTTGGTTTATTATGAAAATTAGCTCAGTTGTATTTTAACTTAATTTTTTTTGAAAATTCTGAAGCGTCAATTAATTACTTAACCATAAGCAAAAATTATTCGTTTCATTTTACTGAATTTTGTTACTGTTTTATCTAACTGAAGAATTATTTGAATTTAAGCAGAAAACCACTTTGTGAAATACATCAGTTGCATATAAAAAAAGATTGTTTTGACAGCTGTCATTAATAAACAGCGAAATCTCTATATAGTGGAATCAAATGGGGTCAAAATATATTTCACTATTTTTAGGAGATATCTTCTTCTTTTTTTCTTAATTGTGATTTGAAAATCCTTTTACCCAAATCACAATTTACAATCAAAATTGTCACTAAATGTAAAAAATGTTTACGTTTTAACTATCTCCTACTAACATTGGACATTTTTTGAGCAGACATTTTTCTCTGAGCACCGAAGAGGATCCTCCGAAATTTAGGATGACAATGTTTTTATTTTTTAACCAAAAAAGATATTTCTGTTCCTCAATTCCGAATGCCTGATTTTGGAAGAATGCCTGATTTTGAGTTATGATCAAAATCGTAAAATAATTTTAAATTTTTTTTTTAAAGAACAAGAAATGTGATAGTGGATTTAAACATTTATTTTTTACATATTGGAACAGATTTAGTCTAGGATTGAGTTGTTATTATAATGAAAAGACACTAATTATGCATTCAAAGTCGAAATGTTATTTTAATTGCCCACAAAATGGTTTCAATAAATTTTTACAAAACTTATTGATAATGAAAAATTGAAAGCCGCACTGTAACAAAAGTGCCCATCGGCGTCAATGAATAATCGTGTGTATCAATAACACACACAAAAATTCAAACACACAGATAAAAATAGAAGAATACAATTTGGTTGCGCATAGTTGTTATACATTTTTGTGGTTTATTTCTTCGTCGTTGCTTTGTCGTCGCAAATTTTGTTGACATTATCTTATCGCTCGCTCTAAGCAAATGAGAGAACGAAAAATAATATATGATGAAATCAGATAAATTAGAATAACCGCCAAAAGTGTTATGCAAATCTTGTGAAATTAAAAAAATAAAAACATAAAACCCACTGGCACCGGATAATACAATAAAAAAAGTGGGACTCATTGTTTTCAGTGCAGACTGTGTTTGTTTTTTTTTTTTGAATTCAACAGAATTTGTCGTCAAAGGCGTCTCTCTCATGATTTATGGTAAAAATGTAATAATAATCTTCCGTTATGCCTGATGTATTTGTTGGAATGCTTCGCAATTGGCCTTCATTTCATACTGTATCTTCGATATGTGTAATTTGTTGGTGTATAATTTCATTTTTTATTCATTTTTTTTTTTTTAATGTGCAATGGAATAGAAAATGCTTCAAGATTTTGTAATGCAAATGGAACTTGGGATAGGCCTAATTACGAGCTATGTAAACCATTGGAGGAGAATCTAGCACAAGTAATCGATGCATCATACGTTGAAATTGCCACACACATTTACAGCATCGGTTATCCAATCAGTTTGATAGCATTAAGCTTGGGCTTGGCTGTTTTCATACATTTCAAGTAAGTTGATAAGTTTTAAAATGTTTGCTTTAACTTTTTCACCAACATTTGGGATCTGTAACCGCAGCATTCAATATTTTCAAGGTTTTTCTTTTCTGTATAAAAATAAGCGAATTTCAGAAATATTTTATGAATTCCAAATTACTCCAGAAGAGACGTGGTAAGAACAGACCTAAAAAATAGTTCAATAGATTCTCGGTTGAATGATGATTTAAAAGAACATACCTAGGGGAAATGATCTATTCGCGAATGGACAAAATTTATTGATTGTATGATAAAGTCGTCATTTTAGTAAAATAATTCAAGAAATTCGCATACAATTCGCAAGCTATTCGCAAAAAGTTATCACAATCAAACTATATAATATACGCTTGCAAACGAACCAAGTGAATAGCGGCGACGCAAGAAAACGAAGTGAGTGAATAGCGGCAACGGATAACATTTTTTCTTTCGTTCGTTGTCGCTATTCACTCATTTCGTTTTCGTGCGTCGCCGCTGTTCACTTGGCTCGTTTACAAGCGTTCACAATTTGATACATACAAAACTTACAAATTTTGCGAATTGTCTCACGTTCATAGCGTTTTGTTTGCGAATTGTTTTTTAAATCACAACTTTACTGGCCCATCGCTTACAAATCATTTCGCATAAAATTCGCAAAATATCGAATAATTCGCTATTTTCTGATCGAGATCCGATCCCCTAGGAACATACAAATCCACTGTCAAACGTACATATGTTATTGTTGTTGTATAAAGGTGACAGTGTAAATATTTGGTCGCTGATTTTTTGTCATTCGCATTCATTAGGAAGCAGGTTTGAACTTGAAACGAGTACCAAAATAATTACGACCCATTTTATACCATAAAATATGACCTGAAATCTCACAGTGAATTTGCCTATTTTTCTTGTTAATTGTGTTGCTTTTTTTCTTTATCAGAGATCTTCGCTGTTTGCGAAACACCATCCACTGTAATTTATTTTTAACATATATTTTATCGGCGCTACTTTGGATTATCCCATTGGGATTGGGGGTAAGTGTTCATTTGTTTTAGTTTCTCTCACACATTTTTCATTCAGAAATCATTGTTTTAATCAGTTGCGAGAATTCTTATTTTTTCACAGGTATTGTATATGTAAATGTTTTCCGAATTTTATTGAAATCGGAGCACTTTCATTTTTTGTTATTTTTGAATATGTTTCCCCATAGCCTCCCTAAAGTTCCAAGTTCCATCTTTATTTTTATTTTAAAAAAATTGTCTTTTACTTAAATTTACCTTCTAAAAAATTGTCACCTCCGCAAAATTTCAGCAACCTTCAATCACCAATTTCCACGCCCCTGGAACGATAGGCAACATTTAAGCCTTTATATTTTATTCACATTACAAATTCTGCACTTCGTACAAAGTGTACAATACATACGAAAGAACAAGTGATGTGACACCAGCCGAAATTTTTGTTATATAACAAAGATATCTTTGCCAAACTGTTGGCCACATTCGATGTATATTTGAAATCATTTCAATTAATCAAAATTGTTGAAATTCACGTATAAGACATATATATGCACTTTGAAGTACTTTTGTGACACACTGTAGTAATTTAGCAATAACACTCCCATAAACAATAAAACAAACTCAACAAATTACCACAAACATTTCGCAAACATTTTCGAAATAAATGTTTATATTTACTTTTGTTTGAAATATATCCATAAATTGGTTCACGTCCTTCTTTCTTTTTCATTGCAGCTAACGGAAAATGATCCAACCGGTTTCGGATGCAAATGTCTTGTTATTTTATTGCACTACTTTACATTGACAAACTTCTTTTGGATGCTGGTTGAAGGTATGTTATTATAAGTTCCAAAGAGCAAATTTATTCGAAGCGTGCATATACCCAAGCTATGGCACTGTTGAAATTAAATCAACGCATCCATACGGAAAATGCACAAAAAACAATAGAGTGATTTTTTTTTTATTTTTACCAAATAGTTGACGTTATTTATCCAATTTAAAAACAAACAACATATTTGTTTGATAAAATGTAAAGTGCATATTTCGAAATAATTGGTGATAAACAAAATGGGTCGTGACTCGGAAGTCAATCGATGTTGACTTCGATTTTTCTATACGAACGGAAGGCAAAAAAACATTGCATACCCCATGTTTACTTAAAACATTTTTTTAAATACATAACATTTTAATAAAAACAACGATCGTGTTTTTTCTCTCGGAAAGAGTAAAAACAATGTCTACCAACAAATGATGACATATTTGTGTTGCCTTCCGTTGCTCTATGGCGGAAAAACTTTTTTCGCAAACAAACGACTGCAGTTTCTGCCTCGACTGTGTGACGTTATTACCCATTTCCAACTGAAAAAAAAAACGCAAAATTGTCTGATAAAAATAGAGTAAAAAATTGTCTGTTGCATTAAATCACCAGAGAATGTTCAACTACTTTTATTAAATTTCAAACAATTTTATTTTAGCCGTGGTTTTGTCGTTTTTTAAGCGATTTTCTTCTATTGCAGGATTGTATCTTTATATGCTGGTCGTGGAAACGTTTTCGGGTGATAACATGAAGTTCAAAATGTACGCGTTCATTGGATGGGGTATGAAATTGAATCTCTTTATTCATATTCATTTAATTTAAATTCGTTCCCATATCGTGTACACCCATATCATTTGCCTCTCCAGAAATTCTCTCTTTTTTTAATGTTTTTAATGTGTGGTAGTGTTGTCCGTTGCATGTAGTATACTTTCACTTAGACCCCTTTCATACCAGAATTGGTTCTGCCTTTGTGTATATGGACACGAACAATGAAATATGGGTAAGAGCATATTCGAACCTGTTGAATAAAGACTAAATCGATAGAAATACCAATGTTTTGAACGAAAAACAAATATCGATGGAAAAATGGGCTCGCATTGAATTTATTCGAAGGAATAAACCGATTGGAATTTCAACGTTAACGTGCCAGTAAATCAAGTATATTGATAAGCCATTGTTCGCTTGCACTACTGCTTATCCTGTCGAACACACATATTTTTGTTTTGAATATTTTTACCTTTGTGACGATGTGAGGGCTCATTTTCGCTTGATTTGAAAGTTAAGCACACTAAAGTGTTGTTATCAGTCGAAAAGGTAGCTAGCCCTTAAAGTTTGAAATCATAAAAAGTCTTTCACTAGAAAAAATGTGGAATGTTTCTGCATGAAATGTGAAATGTTTACATTTCGCCTAATAATCCAATTTATAGCTGCAATTGATTTGTTTGATGTTTGTGATGAGGAAAACAGTACTTATATAATTATCATTTGAATGCACTTAATTTACCAAAATAAACACAAAACCATGGGAATTTAAAAACAATGCCCGAGGGAGAGTCAACCTATTTTTTTGCACAGTAATTTTAATGGAAAAATATGCGTTCGCCTCAAGCATTTAACCCACATGATAGAATATGTCCGTCAAGCGGAAATTGAAATAATGTTTTCTTAATTTCAAACAGAGATGATAAAATTTGATCTAAACTTACTTTCAATCGTGTCTACGTTCTTCAATCGAGTTTCTCTACAACTTTTCACTGAAAATAAAATAAAAAATACTTTCACCCCCCACACACACATTTCCTTTACTTTTCCTTTTCTCGATCCAAGCTGATCCAAGTGTGTTGCTTTTACTCTTATCCACATATATGCTTTCAATCTATTTCAGTTCCTATCCACGCCATTCTCTTTCTCTTACCCTTTTCTTGTCTCGTTCTTCCGCCTATTTTCTTGTACTCAAACTTTTCAAAACATCTTCGATATTTAGCTCCTTCACTTAAATTATTCGAACTCTGTTTAGCTTGAGAGTCAATTCAATTTGCATGACCGCAAATTCAAGTTGCCGCAAAATTCAAAGTCATTTCCTGTTGTTGAAGAAAGGAGAGAAAAAAAGAAATGTATATGCGGCAACAAACTTTTCTCGTGTCGCTTTCATGGTTTCTCCACCAATTTTCCTAATAAATCTAACTACGGCAGCCCATAACTTTACATACGGAAAAAGATATGAATTTTATGGTGGTACCGTGGATTATGCGGTCTATATGTATATTAGTATTTTCGTTCCGCACAAAACACAAGCCACACTGTCGTTTTAGCCACAGTACCCGCCGCTATAATTCATCATATTTATGAAATGTGCTAGTTTTCAATTGTTGTTGTTTATCAATAGGTTGCCCGGGTATTATAATTGCTATTTGGACAGCTGTCAAATCATTTGCAACGATCGATGAATCGAACGGACTGAATCGACCAACGGTAAGTATATAAAAAAACAACAAAATGTTTCAATTAAAATGGAAATGTTGCTATACGATTAACATTTTAATTATTGCATCGAACGCATTTGCATGAATTACAAAACGGTATTACGTAAAATAACCTCAAACAAACAATATTGAACCGAAACGAATTAGGTGCAAATGAAATGCACATGGATGCATGAATCGCTGGTTGATTGGATATTTCATGGTTCGGAATTAGCCTGTTTGCTCGTTAATCTATTCTTTCTCATTCGGATTATGTGGGTAAATGGCAATTTTTTACATTTAATTCCTATTAAACTATAATAGTTATATCTAAAAGTGTATTGTTAAGGTGCTCGTAATTAAATTGCGATCAGCGAACACAGCCGAAACGAGACAGTATAAAAAAGCATCGAAAGCCCTACTTGTGCTCATACCATTGCTTGGCATCACATATTTGGTCGTACTGATTGGACCCGCAAACGGTGTTAGCAGCCAATTATTTTATGTTCTACAAGCATTTCTCATTTCAACACAGGTAATTGATCGCCAAAATTCGATACACTTCGATTCACGTTACAAACACTTTGGAACTTTTTTGAAAAGACCACAAATATACACCTTTCAACATCCGACATTCACTCATCATTATTAGTTAGTAGACAGTTTTTGGAAGAAAATTAATTTTATTTGTTGATCAAAAATAAAGTGGGTGGGAGTTTAAATTGAAGAGAGGTGGATAAATTGTACAGAGCATTTTGCGGTATTTTTGTCAAAATTTTGATGTCAGAAAGCATAGTACATAGATTTTTTGTGAAAGTGAGGATGAGGTGATAAGGATTGTTTCTTTTCACTTCTAAAATTCACTACTTTAATTCCTATACAAAACCAATGAAAAAACTATGTTAAGCGGTTGCATATAACGTATCTCCAATCAGCATTAGGTTTCTTTTTAAACCAAATTTCTGCTTTCATATAATAAAATGTTGTTATTTTCAATGGAATAGGGATTTTCGGTGTCGTTGTTATATTGCTTCATGAATTCGGAGGTGAAACAAGCTCTGCGTCATCGATTATCGATATGGCGGGAACAGCGAAATATTGGCAACGACACACAAATGGACTATCGAAGACATCGAAATGGCTTGTCGAAGGATTACTCATCACCAAGATCTAGAACGGAGAGCATACGGTAATTTTGGCATTTGATACTATGCACGGTTTTTCTTTTATTTGTTTACGCTGTATTTGAGTCGCTATACAAAAATCGTACAGTTGCGAACAAAATTGTTCAAAGTAGAAAATACGTCGAAAGGCACTTATAGTTGAGAATTTTGTATTTGTGACTGTACAAAAGTAGTGGCTCAAAGGACGGTTTTTTTATATATTTTCATCCCAAGGTAAAGGAACTGACTTTTTTTGTTCTTGATTTTCTTTATGATTTCCTTTAGTTTAACGTCGAATGGGTCGATGGTCCCATGAATTTATATATTCTTATTGCAAAACATACTTAAACCATAAACACGCACACATACAACAAAAACGCATACACACTCACATTAAAAATCGAAAAAAAGCCAATTGTCAAGTAATAATTTCGTTGTCAATATCCTAATTTTCTATATTATATTCTTCAAGGAACAATGAACAAAGTTATATTGCATTAAGCCGAATTCGAATTATCGATTTATCAAGTGAAAAATAAAAAATCCCCCTCAAAAAAATACCACAAACCAATTTTACGGATTTTTTCATTCGCATATATATATGTAACGCAAATGGACACCGCATCTCGCTCAAATGTCATCATCATCATCGAAATCGCCAACAACGACCCACAATGATGAATTCTCCGTCGACAGAACGGAAGTATACACATATACCGTTAACGTAAGAGTTTAAGCTTAAATGAAATAAACGATGGCAGCATCCGTGCAGCTTAAGGGAAGACAGAGGACTTCATGAAGATCCTTAAAAACGATTTTGTATGCGAAAAATGTTTGAAAAGTAAAAAAAAAGAGAAATGAGTTAGAGACATTCTGTTTGAATGGGAAAATGTTTTCAATGATACTTTGATGATGGTCCCGGGAAGAGAATTTAAATGAAATACATTAGGAAAGGTATCACCGCAAAATAAAACGTATTTTTTTCATATTCAATTTATACATTTCAGTACTATCGGTCAAATAGAATTTTTAATTTATACTTTTCAATTTGATAGCGTTAAGATTATACAGTGAACCTAAACAAATAAATGTGCTGACACTGATTTTAATATATCGAAAGAAATAGTTTTCAAAGCTGTTCATTCGTTTGAATCTCGGAAATTATTTGTCCTCGAATATAAAGCTCTTCAATTTCTGGTATATTTGGCACACATTCATGTCAATAACATACCCGTATTATAAAGAAGATTGCATCGCAAAAAAAGGCATATCATGGAATTTACACTTTTTTCAAATAACATCATCCTTTTTTTGCAGACAAAAAAGAGCGTTGAAAGAATTTCTGTATACCATTCAACTATATAGTCTTCTTATCAAATACAGAGAATGCAAAAAAACGAACCCTGTAACCGAATGCATTTGTTTTTAAGAAAAATAGAGAGTGAGAAAGCGACGGAGAAAAAGAAATCGTGACGTCGTATTTTAAAATACATTCTGAACCCATCAGATTCAAGCTGAGAAAGATTCCACGAGGAAGAAGAGAATTTGTTAGCAGAGAGTGCATAAAAAACATTCGAAATCTTCGTGAATAAATAATGTAAGCTGTGCGTAAATATCAAATGTCATAAAAGGTGGATATTTCCTCTCAAGTAATCTGGTGATAATGACTCAACTTCAACTAACAAACAAATTATGTCATTTAGGTGTTTTATTTCAAGAGACAGTCACAGTCAGTCAAGACAGGTTGATGCACTTTTCTCCATTTTTTGTTTGCTTTCACTCTCTCATTTTTACACGTGCGAAATTGATGTCATTTATTTGATTGAAACAATGAATTTTTGATAAACGTGAAATGAAACGAGGACAAAGATGGATGAAAGTACAACAAAAGAAATATTCTTTCCTTTTTTGTCGTTTTTGGCCATTACGTAGCAGAAAATTTCATAAAATAGGAACTATAGAACTAAGATTCCGTCATGAAGTTTTACGCAAAAAGGGACTTTTTATTCCGCAGTTACAAATGATTTTTTGTAGAGAATGTTACCGGATCATTACTCCTTAAAAATCTTGACCTAAAAATTACATTTTAATATAGTGGAAACTAAAGATATCCCACGTCCTAAAGAAATGCAGAGAAGTAGCTTCTGAAGAATTTTTTTAGTAGAATTGGAAAGGGTCCCCACTTTTGCAAAAATTGTTAAAATTCTGTCTTTGAGCGATTTATCATTTTTAAGTGTGTCCCAAAAGTTGATGTATTCTCTCTGATAAATGTCTAATCAAATTCAAAAATCTGTATGTCTGATGTAAATTGTGCAAGTGACACACAAGTGTTCAAGTGGTACTTACCTACAAAACTACTTACTTACCGTGTAAACTACAATCATTATCAATAACCAAATAGATAATGATCTAGAGGCATATATTAATTGTTTCCATAAATGAACAACATTCGAATATCCATATATATTTTATATTCTCACAACAAAACTGTAAATGTAAGAAATTTATCTTTTTTTGTGTAGAAAAAGCTGGTAATAAATGAATGAAACCAAATAAAAAATAAAACCTTTATCATTGTGAAAATGTACGTTTTTTATTATATTTTCTTCAATTTCAATTTAAGAAACAAGAAATGTTCATATACTGCGTATGCACGTGTGTTTGTGTCAATTAAAACGTCTTTGAGACGATCATTGATCTTTTTTTGTTTTGACGCGACGCATGCGTTTCACTGCCATCGGTCGGTGTAAGAGCGTTATTGATGCTTAGGTCTATAAGGCAACTTATAAGGTAATTATGATCTGATCTTAAGGTACGTTTTTATGTAAATACAAGCTAAATAAAAAGATAGAGAGAAATTAAATCATTTAACAAGTAGCGCCGATTCTATAGGATTCATTCTTAATAATCAATATACATAATATAGTTTTGTGATGAATTCTTTGCGCGTGCGAGCAAAGATTCGGAAAATGTTTGGTGCAGTGCAAAATAACCTACAGTAAATAAAGCGTAATCTTGAATGCAACATTTAAAGAAGGAAGTTTGGGTGTATGAATTCGCTGGTAACTGAGCCGAAATTGCTCAAACTCAATTTCGATGTAATTAGACGAAAATAGAACTTATTCACAAAAAAAAGAGATTAATCGATTGAACTTTGTAAATTATGCACCATGACTCATTTGAAGACTCTTAAATTCTATTTATACAATGATCTTTTTTTGTCTCGAGCACGTGTAATTCATAATTTGTTTGTTTGATTGTTGTGATATGAAGATTTTTTTTCTTGTCATTTAATGAGCCGGTTTTATTGATTGACACATAGACGAATTTGTTTTTAATTTTTGTTATTTCTTTTTTCCATTAAAATTCACGTTAAAATTCTTTATTTTGACGAGACACACATTTTTAATGTGCGCATGACTTGTGTAATACAATATTATCTCGGACTTAAATCAAACTAAAAAAAAGTACCAATTTAAAACAAATCATAACACTAATTTACGAGGTAAACTATAATTTAGTCAAATTCAGGCGCTCAAATTATAATGTACATACGAAAAATGTATGTAACAGGTAGATTCGACAATAATATAAAACCTTGACGGTTCCATCTCTATTTTACGGCTCTTTTTCTTTCGCTTCACTCACATCACGTTTATAAGCTAACTAGTAACAATAGGGTGGAGAAAACTATACACAGAATTTTTTTTAAAATAGTTTGTACAGAGATACATTAATTAACGCGTGCTATACAAATACGTGTTAACAAAAAAAAATACAGTTTCATTTTGTTCGACTGTTTTTCCTTCAACTTGTCAATTTTGTGCGGCCGACGATCACTTATTGTCGTACGATTTATTTACGATTCGATCGTGACTCGAACCAAATTTAGCTAAGCGACGGCGTCAACGTACCATGAACACGAAATCGGTATAAACATGTGTAATTGTTGTTACCATGATTTGATTCGATGCGCAATTCAATTAAATTGTGAGATCGAACATTTTGCGCATCATAATTTTTTACCGGGAAATACTGCAAACTTGTTCCATTCTCTAAGTACTCATATTCGCCAAATTGATGTGGCTCACCATCATTCACTGTCTCCAGACCCTGTAATTTCAAATTTTTTTTTTTTTGGTTTTAGAATGTTTGATCAATTCACAGAATTGACATTTTAGCTTTTTTTATTTCAGTCAGTTTTTTCTCTTTTTGGTTGACCTGATCCAAATTAGTGGAGCCAAAAAGGGCTTCTTTTTTTTGCAAAAAATTGATTTATCTCGATGGTTGCCACACATCATATCATTTCGTATGAGAGCTTAAGTCATGAAGTATCATGAAACTGACTTCTACGCACAACGGGTATGGAAATATTTCAAAAATCACCAATAGTCGGCCCATCAAAGATTTATCAAACTGAATCAAAAAGTACCGTCATGCACAATGATACTTACCCAAACTGTAAATAATTTTGGTGCCGAATCTATGCGACCATTTGGTGCAAGACTTTTTGGTATGTGTTCCATTGTGAAACCAGTTACAAAGACATTGTTATTCAATTTAAGAACAAGATAGCCGGGAAAACCTTGAAACGACCAGCATTCACCCGGTTGGACTGCCGGTGATATAACGGTTCGTGGGGTATTGCTTTTATACCACAATGGTACACCGAAAATTGAGATTTCCGCCGACTTTACATTAAAACTTTCGGTACACCTGGAAGAGGATAAATGTTTTTCTTTAATTATTTTTCTGGATAATAGAAAAAGAATATTTACCTAGTGGACAAAACTTCACCGCCGGCACTTTCGAGTGCATAGTCAACCATTCCAGTTTTGTCGGCATCATAAACAGCAAGTGCATCTTTGATAATAGCCCGAATACGTACTTCGTCCAGTGAAATGCTGTCTGCATGACCAGTTGCGCTAATTTTCTTTTGTTTTTCTTCAATGGCAATCATGATGTCCTTTTTAATGGTGTCACTAACGGATTTTATTAAAATATCGGCCGATTGATTAATTTCATCGTGGATGCGATCATCAAATTTACTATTAAGTTCGAATAAACGTTCTTCCAGCAATTCTTTGGCCACGAATACGCTTCGAATCCAGTTGGTAAGATCAGCATTTTCCAATGGTTTACCATCTGTCGATTTATATCCCAATATATCAGCAAGTATAATGCGAATATGATTGTCAATGGCGTTAAATTGATTTTCATTAAAAACGCCCAATTTGGCGTCAATTTCTTGTAGAAACTTCTCTAATTGTTCATTATTTTGTTTTTGTGCCGAAACAATCTTTTCGTCCAATTCATGTTGTTGTCCTTGCAATTGATCGACGGTGGTTTGAATGGCAATATTTGCGGTAAGCACGTTACGGAATTTTTCTTTGAGATCATTCACATCATTTTGCAGTTGATCAATTGTAGACTGATGATCAGATAGCTGTCCGGTTAAAATCGTTACTTTTCCATCGATACGTTGATCAATTAAACTGTTCAATTTGCTCGAACTTAAAATCTTATAGAGAATTTCATCGATGTCAATGTCTTTGATGTCAGTGGTTGATGGTGTATCAGCGGTTTTTTGTGCAACAATCCATTCATGATGATGAATTTCAATGTTTTGCTTGACAATTTTCGAAATTTCTTCCAAATTATCTTGTGACAATACAAAGGGCAATATTTTTGGTTCATTTTTCAATTCATCGGCCAATTTTAGTCGAACCACTTCCGCAATACGCTCGATATCCTCATTGGTCAACGTATATTTGTAGGTGATAATTTGTTCTTTGACAATTGTAGCGATACGCAATGCCAACTTTTGATCGATTATTGTTTCGCGATGCAATCGTTCCTCTTCCAAAGTTTGCACCTTTTTATTGATAACCGTTTCAATGTATGCATCGATGTGACCTAATATATTTTGATACTCTTCCGGTGATAGTGACGCTTTTATGTTATTTGTAATTTGATAGTTTCGACTTTGCCATAGATTTGGCAACCAATTCCAATTGAAATCGAACAGAAATTTTAATTTGTCACTCACATTCGATGTTTGCGTACGAATTAATGCCAATGCAATCGGAATAACTTTTGCCGTTCGTGTTGCGAATTCATCAAACGTTCCATGAACAGAGTCGGGAAACGATGGCAATGATGATGGTATCGTCGATAACGTATCAGTTACATGCTTTCGATACAATATTCGATCGGACTCTTCAGATAAATTCCATGCTAAAATTTGTAAATTTGGAAATCAAACATTAATTCAAGAAGAGAAAAAAAATCGTCAAAAAATGGAAAGTTAATTGAAGTATGACGATTGCGGTGTTCTTGTGACGAAAAAAAAAACAACTTCTCATCCATGTGACGATACTTTATAATTAGTTAGAAAAAAGTTTTTTTCTGTTCTATGAAATCGAGTAAAAGATTCAACGAAAGTCCCATACTTACAGATTAATCATATTATATAGTAAATTGGCAATAATGTTATTTTTAAACTTTTTGGTGCAAAAAAATCTTCAAAGAAAATGTTCCTTCATTTTTCAATATTTTTTCAGTTCCGTGTTTTTTTTTTTTAATTTTTGACAAAGTTTTGTCGCAGAGAGTGATTTTTAACTTGATGAAATATCTCATCTCGTTAAGCTCGTCTGCTCTGTTTGTATGAGAGTAAATGAGAGCAGTGAATCACTTGAAAGATCCAACATATTTGATTCTTTCTTCACACAACAAGAGTAAATAAGAATGACTCGCGTCCAAATTGGAGATAGCAAATACAAGTGAGCTAGTTAAAAACATCCCATAGAATATCTCAAAACGACTGATTTTACTGGCAGTACCAAACCGAAGGTCATATTCCAGAAACATTTTTCGATGAAGATTTTTTCTCAGGAAAGATGGGTGAAAAAAGAATTCGATTTCGTATCAAGAGAACCAATATACTTACACTACATGTCACACTGGCATCGCCAGTCGAGAGAAACCAAGACCATTTTTTAAAAAGATTTTCAGATCAAATTTGAAATCGGGATATTGAAAAAAAGAGACCAAGAGACAAAGTGAGGGAAAAATAATCCACAAACCTTTTCATAGACGCAACATTTCATGGAAAATTACAATTAAATTTTATGGTTCTAAGTTTGTGGCCAAAAACTAGCCACGAATCTAATTGAAGAACAAACTGTTTCAACAATGTGCAAATTAATCCCAAAAACTGTCTAATTTTCACTTATTTTTATCATTTTTCTCTCATACGAGAGAAAAGAAAATTAATTTTTTTTTTTTAATATATTTGGTGAGTGACGTTGACGTTGATGAATTATTTAGAACCGTAAAACCACATAAATTTCCATGAAATTTGAAATCATGAAGAAGGATAGAGGACTATTTTTTCGAAAACAAAAATAAAACGAACGAACGAAATAAAATATAAAATTAATGTAAAAAAAATCAACATGGACAATAGAAGAAAAAAGACACGATTTATTTATCATTTGTTCCGTGTGTTTGTGTGTGTTTTTTTATAAAAAAAATTGTTTCATTTTTTTATTGAAATATTTCTCGGTTTTTATTGATTTGCTTTAATATAAAAAAAATACAATTCCATACTCAAATATTATATGGGTTTATATTCCCTTTTTTGCGACAGAAAAAAAATATGCCTTAAATGTCTATATAAAATTTTCATTTCTCGTGCACATTTTTTGTTGTTTTAGTTTTCTTCTTTTTATTTCCGATTACTTCATACTAGGCGATCAAAAAATATTTCTCTTTTTTTTCTTTTCCTTCATTTGCCTTTTTCTACAGTAGTATTTCTTCTTATATTTTTTTTCTTCAATAATAAATGTTTATGTTCATTGAATTACATATTAAAACTACGATTCACATACTAAAGAAGAAATTTATGAAAAAAACGAACAAATTGCGAACTTTAATGAATTTATGTTGATTTGGAAAAGAAAAGTACAGACCAAAAAAAAAAAATAACAGAGAAACAAATAAATAAAAACGAGAGAATGATTCTGACATATTTAAGGAAAAAATCGGTTGATTTTGATATTGATCAACAAAAAAAAAAGAATTAAATACTCTCTATCCTTCTCCATTTGCATTTTCGTGTGTCATGTTCCGGTTTTTTATTGCGTGGATGCAAGTTGTGTTGTTATTCAGAGTTGTATTCGAACCGTTTATCAAACAGAGTCAATTGGTTTGTGTGGTGGTTGTGGTAGTTTCGATGAAGGTTCGAGTTAATGGGGTTTTGGAATGAACAAAAAGGTATGTGTTTGTGTGATTGGTGGGTTGAATATGATTTGGTTTGCCCAAAATTTTGGTATTCTAATCACCTTTGCGGGTGTGAAATGTGTGTGTGTGTGGGATTTCGAAAATTTCTCTACAATTTAGAGTTTTTTTTCATGGTCAAACATTGATTAGATTTTTTATTTACGGTTAGATGATGTGCTAGTGCATTCTAATCTCTAGAAAATGGAGTGATTGAGTGTGACTTAAATCTTAATACAACTAAATTATAAGAATTGTTAATCAAAAAGAAAATAGATCGGGATGTCTTTTATCCGTGAACGACAATTGTGTGCATCATTCGTTTTTGATTATTATTGAAAATGCCTAGGGACACCCATGAGGTTCGCATCGACTTGTGAGCGATTTTCTCATCTACAGTGCAAATTGTTGTTCAATGGGACTATTGAAATTCATTCCATACTAGAAATGCGTCACATTTAACGAATTTTTTTTTGTTTGCTCTTTTATAAAGACTTTTTTTGCTGCTAGGTGAATTGGCTTTGCAGTGCCGGGATAAACACACATAGTTTTTGGTCGACATAATAAACAAATGTTTACATCATATGATAACATTTTTATGTAATTTGTCGAGTAAGAAGATTTGCATTCGTCATCATTGAAATGTGAAAACTAGAGATAAATAAAAAAAGACGTCATCATTTAAAGGAAATTCTCATGGTAAATCTCTTTTTTGTTTTTAAATAAAACTCATGAAAATGTCGAATAAAAATTCGCTTGAAAATTCAGGTTTTTATGTGAAGTAGGATTTAGCAATGATGACATGCAAAGCATGGAGCTTATCAATTCGGTGTGCATCTGGATGAAATGGAGATGAGCAAAGCCAATACTCTAACACTATTATCTAAATCATGGCAATTCAATTTTTTCTACATTTCTTTTTTTTTTGTTTTCTAATGATCCATTGCGGATTTAATTAAATTTTTTGGCGACCAAACAATGCAGTCATAATATTTGCAAATTAATTATATTTTTTTTTGTTCCATAATCAACTGAATGATATTCATCTAAAATACCATGACAATTTTTTTTGTTGTAATTTTTTTTCTTTAATACCTGAACATAAAAAGTCTAAATGTGATAAATGTATAAATGTAAAAAAAAACGATGACAAAATGAATGTAGACGATTGTATATGTGTGCGATGGTTTTTCGCAATGGTCAGTGATGATTGAAATTGAAATACATTTTCTTTTTAAAATAAAAAATTGTACTATATTGGTCAGAGAATGTGGTGTATATTATTGTTCGGACAATGTTTTCGTCAATCGTCTACATGTCTTTTGTCCGATGAATCAAAATGTATTTTCCGATCGATTTCAAAATGACAATGGAGTATTTGCTATAAATGTTTATTGAAATGTGCTTGTGGCATTTGTTCTCATTAATGATTTCCTTTGCTTTCATTGAGTGAGGGAAAAAAGCGATTTACTTCATTGAAATGGCTTTTCTTTGTGATTCTCATGTGATTTGTTCGATCGAATTTAGTATGGGAAATTTTCGGACCACAATTTCTTGGCTTCAATGGCCGAATTTTGGGCATACTCTGACAAATACAACCAATAGGTTGATGTAGCATTAACCGCTTCATTGTATTTATCAATGCTAGTTGTTTTAACATATTCAACCAATTGTGGATCAATAATTTCGTCAAAGGAGAATTTTGGAATTGGAGCGGGTTTATCATAATAATAATATGTACCTGAAAGAAAAATTGTTGACAATTGGTGGAAAGAAAAAAAAATCAATCAATATTTTGGCATTTAATGTGAAATGAATCGCGGGGTGAATGTAAAGAAAATAAATTTGGCATTTTTAAATTTTAAAAGAGACTTTTTGAAAAAGACATTGCCCTTCGAAATGACCAAATAAGAGAAAATCGAGTGAATAAAATGTGTAATAAACTTACCGGCCAAGAGAAGAAGTGGCAACAGAATAAGTAGACCAATGAGGAAGCCCTTCTTTTTGTTACCCTTTGATGACGATTGTAATGCCCACGAATCGAGAAATAGAATCGATGAGATGCATAGATAGATGTACCGGAACACAGATAAAAATGCGCCGCAAATACTATCCCAAGATCGTCGAATGATACCTATTCGTGATGAAAAAAGAATGTTCTTTAGACAAATCGTAATTATCGTAATTCGAAAAGGCTCGTATGACGGTGCACATACCTTTTTGCGGTTCAGCATATCGTGCATAATAGACATTTGGCTGTTCACGTCGAAAGATGCTGGTGGTGCGATAGTAAATGGTTGAGAAAAATGTTGTGATCACAGTGATCACACGTTGGAAGTACGAACGTGAATCGATGTACGATCGGCTGCCATTCAAACCGAATGAAATATCAGTTTCGTCTTGTGAATCATAGTAATTTTCGGCGGCACGACGTTTTCGCAATGTGGTCAATGCTTCATATCGACTACGGAAAAATGACTCTTGCGCTGGATCACGGCGTATCATATCATTGACACGGGTTTGATGATGTTCCAAACTGCGACGCGACATATTTGGCATTGCAATAACGCCCGGCTTTACTTCACGACGTTGTTGCGACAACTTTGAATATGTATAATCGGTTTTTGGGAATTTATTCCAATATTCACCGGCCTCTTTGTACTCCTTGAATGCGGCATGATCTTCCAAATTTGTGCCATTTGTTATGCTGATATTGTTGAAACTGCTGTTATTGCTGTTGGCCGACGATCCATCTTTGTTGGCACGCGGTGTGCTTGTCTTCAGTTTGGCATTTTGTTCCAGCAATAAATTCGATTCATTTTGATTTGCTTCACGTGAACGTGTTGATTTTGTAACTGTTTGTGATTGATGCTGTTTTTCATTTGATAATTGTTCACCGCTGCTTGTTTTTACCGTTTTCGATGAAATGACTGTTGTTGTTTTTGTCACGGTCTGTTCAGTTGCGGATATTGCCTGTGGCACCACAGCCACCGAGTTTGCAATCAATGCAACTGTCTCTTTATTTACCGAATTCGATTCGGCCACATCGTTTGTTGTTGCTTTGGCCGCATTACGTTTGGTGCGTGTTGAACGCTGTGTGACAACCGGTGCTGGAGATTCTTCATTTATTGTTCTGATTTTGGAAAGGAATAAGAATTTAGGAATTGTACAATTTTAAACGATTTTCTTGAATCACTTGCATTTTTACACAAATTTAATTTGATTTGAATGTAAAATACGACTAAAAATCAATTTCAAACCCAATCAAAGTCGCTTCTAACAAATTCATTTAAAACTCAACCGATACCAAAAGGAACCTATTTAGTTTAAGGTTTCCTTTGGTCCGTGGCTTCTTTTGCGCAAAAAGGCTTCCGTTAGGTAAAAAAAAGGTCAAGTGGAAAAGTGAAACAAATAATACTTACTCGACCGTTGGATTCTTTTTGACTTTTTTCTTTTCACCATCAATGTCAATGTCACGATCGACACTTGATCGCAATGTCAATGGTGTTTTTGAACGGGATCGCTGACGAGTTTCTCGCTTATTTTCTTCTTCCATTTCAATTTCAATGTTTTACTATATCAAAATTCTGTAAATAAAAATGAAATCGAAACAATTTGGTTAGAATACAATTCAAACATGAAACATAACTACTGAATTTTGTTCTTATTGACATGAAATATGATATTAAATCGTTTTGCTTGAATGATTTTTCCAAATGTTCAAATGATTTTTTCCCGTACTATTTACAGTCGTGTGATTGAAGGGCTGGTTAAATATAGAATATATCTATAAGGCACTGACTCAATTCAAGACAACTAACAAATAAAAAAATCGTTAACAATCAGCACTGTCACATGTGAATAAAAAAAACGGCTAAGTTTTAAATTTGACTGTTGACTCGGTTGTCAACGTTATTTGCACGCGGATTGGCAAATATCACAATAATACTGCGCAGCGTATCCAATTTGAATTTCATACTTCGCTATGGTAGCAACTCATTTATAGTATTGTAAATTAACGTTTGTATTTCAAATTAGACATCGCCTCACGCGTTCATCATTTTGCTCGGATTTTTTTTTATTTGCTTGCGCTCACACTCTTCGTCACGTAATATAATCAGTAAAAATCGTAATTTCTTTGCGCTATTTGTCACATTTGTACGAAGAATGTATAAGTGATGATGGTGGTAGTGTGAGAGATATAGAGAGAGTGTGCGACCTTGGGCTGCTTCGATATTCTCTCATTCGAATGGATGTGCATGTGTGTGTTCCGCATTTGGAGACGGGAGATCAAGTGTCGTTTGTCATCAACGTATCGCTCAATTCTGTCAAAACCGACCATTTCTATTGGAAATGAATTTTTGGCGCGCGATTTTCAGATCAGATTTGAATACCAAAATTGAACGAAAATGGCCGTTAAAAAGTTGATTCGACCATTCAAATTTATTGTTTACCTCGAAAAATGAGATTTTTTTTTGATGAAGAGACATTTTTCATCCGAAGAAGTCATCACAAGAAAAATGACGAAAAATATTTATTTTGGTCCAAATTGTTGAAAAGTTTGTTGAAAAAAAAAATGTTTCATGAAGTTTTTTTTCTTTGGTCAGCCGATGTGACTGTATGAAAAATGTCAATTTTTAAATTCAACACAACAATTGACCACTCAGCGAAATGACTTCCTCATCGAAATGCAAACATACAAATTGCTTCAAAAATGGTTGTTTCATGTCAAAACCGCTCCGATTGCAAAATATTTGATTATAGTTCATTTGGTGTTTTAGCAAAATTCTGCCAAAAATATCCATAATCGTATAGTTTTTCTATGCCACATCCAAAACAAACAACCTTGTTGTGTGTGTGTGCTAAAATATCGTTATATTTAAACAATAGAAGAAATGACGACACAAAAATATACCTAGAATTCGATCTGTCTCTTTTGCGCACTCAAAACAAAATATGACGTCAGCATTCGCAACGGCCAATACAAACACACGCTCGCACAGTGTTGTATACAAAATTCGATAGCGATTTTTTATCTTAACGTTTTGATATTTAATACATGCTTTAAATCGAATATCTAGGTGAACAAAAAAAAATCTTGCTGTGCGCGCGTTTTTTTTTTTTATCTCAGCGAGCAGATATTTTGAATAATATTTGCGTTGTAAGCAACGGCCAACGGAATGAGATTTAAAAAAATGAACCAGACATAAAGTGGTGGAATATCGTATATCCGATGCATACTGCATATATGTCGTAACACTTGAACGCTTTCATTCAAAAAAAAAAAGTCGCGCGCGTGCTTCATTTATGTTTTACAAAAACTGAAACTGCCAACGATCATAGATCGTTCTTAACCAGACATTATAATGAGATATTTTCAGCCAGATGAATCAGCTCAGCCAGATATCGTCAGATGCTGAAATGGAGTGAAAACAATAAAAGTGATTGTTATAGTGATTGTAGCAATGTAAGTGTAATTATAACCATAACAATCATTCCTATTGTTTTCACTAAATTTCAGCTCCTGACGATATCTGGCTGAGCTGATTCATCTGGCTGAAAATATCTCATTATAATGTCTGTTCTTAACAAATAAAAAAATATTATAAATATATCGCCGGATAGCCTTGATATTAAAGATTTGAATATTCAAAACGTTCCCGCTTTTAATTGGAAGCAACAGCAGCTATTTTAAATAAATAATCAATTCTTTATAAAAAAAATGGCTATTTTCACTCAAGTAAATTTACTCTGTAAAAATAAAAATAAAAACACTTTTTAATGCCGTCGATTTGTAAAAAAAGAATGAGACTATTTTAATGCGATGCTTATCTTCATTCGAATGATGACACACAGTCTACTTATATATAATGGAATTTCAAGTGTAAATAAGCACAAAACATAGCAACTTTCAACTTCAACCCGTTTCGATCAAAGTAAAAGAGAAAAACAAATAACAAATAGAGCAAGTGAGAGAGAGACAGAGAGAATGAATGATAAAAAAGAACGAGCAGCGACTGAAAGATGAAAAACATGAGAGAAATTATGAAATGCATTATAATTTATGATGTATTCTCATTGTCTCTTTCCTTAATGATTAATTCCAAGCGCGCGTCGCACATACCGAAAAATCAATGAAATGTAAAAAAAAACATTGTGTATATCGAATGTATTTTGGAACTTGAATACAAAATCATAAAACATAAAAATACACATTAGAAATTTCTCGTTTGAAAATGGTTTTTAAGGGCAATGACAAGTACGCTATTCACTTCATACGTTCATTTCTACACACATCTAATGCAAACTACACACATATAATCACACAAGCGGCGTTCGGTTTTTTTACTCGAGTCTGCATCAATGCACTCCAATAGAAAAGAAATTGAAAAGAAAACCAGAAGAGTAACTATTGAGTGTTGCATTTGCGAAAGTATGTCTGTGTTGGCTATCGATTGTATTATTACACTTACTGGAGTAGCGAATTATGCCGGATTCAATATGATCAAACTTCTTTTAAATTTAATTATTATTTTATTATTATCTACTTGTCTATGAACACACACACTCTCCGTCAAAATACTTAAAAAAAAGTTGAACAAGGAGCGACTTGAGCTCTCAACTTATATATAACTAACGAATATGCAATTGAGAGTGTAAAAAAAGAGAAATTGAATTGCCGACGATCAACGATTCAACTTGAACTGCATGTGCACGTCTACGAACGAAACAATTCTCACTAAAAAAAATGAAGATGATAAATATAAACATATAAAATGAATGGCACGTGAGAGTGTGTGCGTTGACTATCGTACGATCACTGTATTGGTGAGAATGAAGAAAAAGAAATAGGGCCTGAAATGAAAAATGCAGTGCCATTTAAAAAACCAGAGAGAATGCATTTAAATGAACAAATGCCGGATAATTGAGTGTTCGCTTGTATTTTTGGGCACATTAAATGCCTGACGACAACAACAGCTACATCAATATATGCATTGAGAGAACACATATCGACCAAATGATTTCTATCACTTTCATTCTCCTGCTCTCACTCGGTGTCTATTCAATTAAAGTTCGGCTCTTTAAATTTACAAATACACAGAAAAACACTAATGAAACAAACAATTGCCATACAAATGAGATCGGTTGTGGTTGGTTTTCTGTGTGTTTTAAAGGAGTGAGTGAGCGAGTGAGAGAGAAAGAGAGTGAGCGAAGACTACAACAACAATACACACATTGAATTCTTGTTCACAACGAACAAACCGAACCAGAGTTCAAAACAGAAAACGAGAATAGAATTGAGAATTTATCACCGTTACATCGAAACCGAATGTGCGGCAAGCCGAAAGAGTATACACACGCATACGCATACAAAGCATTACACAGTCGCTCTATAGTTACTATACCGATGGTTGTATATATCGCACCGTACATATATTGCGTCGTTCATATATACATATAAATCTACATGTATCGACGATGAAATTATGCACACTATGACTGTACACTAAAAACGCTATTGTCGGCTACTTTCGAACGAATACATTCGGCGTACCTTACCAAAGTGAGAGAGAGAAAAAAACAACACACGCCGAATGGGCAACTACATTTTTATCGAAAAAAAAAAACAACACAAATATGAAAAGAGAGACAAAAATCGGCACACACAGAGGGCAAACGGGTTGGGGCTAAATCGACAAAAATAATGCGGAACATCAGTTTGAAAAGAAAATAAATAATTTTGATGCCGTTTGTCATCGCATTTTTCTCACTCTTCATCCTCATTGCCGGACAACAATCATTTTCTCTGTGTCCTTTTTCACTCTTTATTTGGCATTCATTGGCTTTACCAAACACAAACTCGACACCATTCATTCACATACACACAAGGTTCGTTATACGAAAACTAAACATTGTTAATGTTGGTTTCAACTTCGTTTTTCATGTCAATAACAATACGTTTTTGATTATTTCACTTACACAAAATATAAATCGTTCGACCACTTCGTAATTTCTCTCCGATTTGAATGTAATAAATTTCCTTTTCACCGTCTCGTCGCTACAGAAACACACACTTTTTTTCGTTTGCGATGTTAAACACACAGTGCTTGCTGCTAAATTAAAATGTCGACGCGATTCAGTTCCAACAAACCAACGACGACGGCATTCGTATACACACATGATGTGAACGGACATGGTTGTATGCGTGCTACGCGTACCCGTATATTAGCCGCATCACAACGAATACACACACAGAGATACGTCTTTGCCTTACTGTGCACACTGCACACGTTTTGCCAACGGCATTTCAACTGGTACACGCTGTTTTAAAATTGCTATCCTCTTGTATGCACGACCATCAAATTCGATGATATGCGAAACAACACAGCGAGAGAGAGAGAAAGAGAACCTTCAACAATATGCTTCCAATAGAACGTAATATGCCGTTCCGCATTTGCTCAGCAGTTGGCACAACTGCAATGTGGAACTGAAAAAGGCCTACCTTACTTTGACTTGATTTAAATTCAAATATTTGGCCAATGATTACTCGACTTTTTCATTTTTGATTCAAATTTTTATTTTATATTCTTTCCGGTTTTTTTTTTTAAATCGAATACACCAAATTGAAAGTGTTTTTAGAAAATGTGGAACGACTTTCTTTCCACAGAAAATAGAATGAAAATCTTATAAAAAATCACAAATTTTTCAATTTTATACAACATTTTATTTGAGCTCAACTAGTTGAATGTCTATTATTATTATTATGACAAAAGAAATAATTCAATTTCGAGAGAGATTCCGTACAGAGTCAGTTAAAATAGATTGATATCATTTCCATCGTATAAAAAATATAAAGATTAAAGAATAAATTAACACACAGGATTTTCATTTGGTTCTTTTTTTATTCATTTTTCACAATTCTTAAACTGATATCTTAAAATTAACATTTCTGATTAACTAGAAAGATTATAATTTTCATATTCAACAGTCAAATACTTGAAAATATTGTATTTATACATTAAAATTTACAGTTGGTGCAAATTAAAATGGCGGTCAGCGAATATCACGCAAAACCATTTGCCATTTTGTAACAATCGAAAACTATTAATTAGTTTTCCAATGAATATCGCATCGAAATTATGGTAGAGATTATAGCACACAGTACTTCAAAATCATATACTTCTATTTTAGAGAAGAAAAATTGCAAATATATCACTGTGATCATTCTTGCCATGTATTATTAGTTGGCACATGTGTGCATTAACATTGAATCATTTTGCGCGGAATATTTACTTTATGCACGATTTTATTATACCTTTAGTAGTGAATTTCAATTAAGGTCTAATAATATTAAAGAATTAATACATTTCATTCATAATAATCTCCATTCGGATCCAACGAAAAATTTCAAATTTCCAGCAGTTCTAATGCGAATTTTTCATTTGCTAAATATGTCACATGAAGCAATAAACATAAATCATCAAATAATTCTTACTTTTTCATTAGATCGCTCTCAAAAATTGTAAAATACTTCTTAATGTTGCCCACGGGCGATTTCTATGATAATTTTTCATTTAAAATGTCATTGAAGATGTTTAACGATAAAAAATATCCAATATGTTTGATCACTTATGATCAATAATAAAATATAAAATATATAAATATAAAATAAAATATAAATATATTATAAAATTCAGATGAAATGCAAGACACCAAAATCGTAAATCGGACAATTACAACTTGGCAATGAAAACGTCATTAGATTGCAGGGCGTCAGAATAGACTAAAGAGCATGACTTCTTGGTTGAATGCAAGTCGACAATTTAATATGAGTTACCGTAGACGAAGATTAAAACGGCGATTAGCGAGTATTACGCAAAACCATTTGCCATTTTATAGCCTACGAGTACAAAAACTATTAACTAGCTCCCCCATCGCATAAAATACCTGTAGAGGTTTAGAACAATTATTTCTGTAATGTAGACATCTAAAGTAATAAGATAGAAGTCTACATTCAGAGAGAAATGTGGTTCACGTTGGAGTTCATAGAAATTGTTCTCGTCTCTGTATGAGAGTCACGTAGATAAAATTGTCAGGAACATCGTCAAATTGATAAATTTGAAAAAGACCGTATTACGATTGCTTTATATTTTTAGCGAAATCGTCTCAGCGATTTCGAGCAGTCTATGTATTTCGGATGGATATCCATCCGAGTTTTTTTAGAATATCTGGATATTTAACGCAACTGCACAGAGCCAGAGCTGTGTGCGTCGCACATATAATCTACGGTATGTCGCTACACGTAAAATACAGACACAGTGTGACTGTGTACGTGCGATACTTGATACACATATACGTCGCGACATACCGTAGATTCTATTTGCGACCCACACAGCTCTGGCGCTGTGCAGTTGCGTTGAATATCCAGATATTCTAAAATATCTCGGATGGATATCCATCCGAAATACATAGACTGATTTCGAGTTTGCTGAGAATGAAGAAGATGAGTTTTTCACATTTAGCAGAATATTCGGAATGCTAGAGTATTCTTTTGTTGAATTGTGGCAACGGTGTTCAACGTGTTTTCGATAGTATTCGACATTTTGGCCACTTGATTTCGAACAAAATAATCTTTAAAAAACACGGAAAATTTCATTAAATTGTTTCACACACACACACACTCTATTTTATTGTTATAAGTGAGAGACTCTTATCGTGGATGAAATGTTGATGTGAAAAACACTAATTAACTAAAATTAATTGCTTTAAATTTAGTTTGAAGTATGAGCTGAATTTGGTTATGATGTTGCTCTGACAAAAACACCATCACTCTTCTTGTAAAACATAGATATTTGTACCCATTTGCGATAACAGAAACGATGTCTTAATGATTTAAAACTCATTTGCTTCTTTTTTCTAATTTGGTGTAGTTCCGAAGAATGTCACTAGATCGACACCCTGAACATTCCAATATGTCGACTTTATTTGGTATATTTACAAAGATGTGTGGAGTTTTGTGGAAGCCATACAGTAATTTGATAAAATGCTTTCAAAAATGTTGTTGAGTGTTGAGTGTTTTTTTTTTGAATTTTTACTATAGCGCATCTCACAGCTTTATATAACCGTGTTGTTGTTGCTGCATTTCTGCAATTCAATGCAATCCCGTGTACAAAAAAAGTGATTGACTATTTTGGGACAAACTATTGACTGTAAAAGCAGGCAACCTTAGTTAAATTTAGTTAACCGTTTGATAATCAATTTGTTGTATCAATTAAAGTAAGCTATTTCTAACTGCACACCTAACTATAGTTAACAATAACCATAGTCACCCCATAGTCTTAACGTCCCAAAATAAACGCCTGAATGACTGAGTGACTATAGTCGATTGTTTTCCATACAATATTTTAAAATTCATGAATTTATCCAACTATAGTCACTTACAATCAATAGTAACTTGGTCACTTTTTTTCCACGCGGTAAATTAAATTTAGTTCCTTAAACTAATTGCAGGTGGCGATGAATAATTAGTTTTCCAATGAATATCGCATCGAAATTACGGTAGAGGTTATAGCACACATTACTTAAAAATCATATGCTTTTATTTTAGAAAATGTTTAAAAAATAATAATTTTGAAACGTACTAGATTTAAGTACTGGATTCATTGGTTTAACGGCATATTTTAGCAATTCTGTGCCAGTATGAATGCGCTCAACAGCGCTAGAAAAATAACCAACATCAACGATTTGGAAACTAACACAAAGTCATGGATGGCAAACCCCACTGCTATATTGAGACAAGCAAACACATAATTTACCTGCAGTACAAGCAGCTTAATATGATCCTGACAAATATGTTTTGCCTCAACGAAGACGGAATCACGATTCAAAACGCAAAGCCGATGTTTCCGGTCATGAACAACGAAGTGATCGTGAAAAATCTTTTTTTCAAAGTCCAGACAGACAATACAACAGGCGCTCTCGACATTATTTTCCAATCGAAATACGTGTTTTCTTCAATTTCACACCAAAATTTGTGGTTATATGACTTTTGACAGTGCTGTCACTATGCTGTATTTGGGTATATGCGTCACTTCCTTTGGCATAAATTTATTGGGCTTAAGAGTATTGTGACAAGGGAATAAATCATTTGATGGAAATATAAATCAATTGACCACAAATGCTAACATTGTGAGGTGCACCAAGCGCCCGAATAGTATATTAGCAAAGCGAGAATAAAGATTCGGGTTTGAGTCTCCTGCACCACACTCCTTGTGTTTCATTCATTAGAATTTCCCTCATATCAAAGATTTGGTTGCCCAAGTACTTCTAATGTTTCCCAGGGGTGATTTCTATGATAATTCTCCATTTAAAATTTAAATCAAGTTGAACCAATATCATTTAAGATATACGACGATGAACGATATGCATATATTTTGTAAATCAGTGGTCAATATTAATTTAACCTCTCAACATATATGTATAAAACCATGTAGAAGAATGTTTATTGTTTACTCAATTTGTTGAATAAAAGTGATAAAAGAACTTATGAACAATTTAAGCTATACATCAATGTTGCAACGAGAAGTGCAAAAGTAGTGAAAAATCAGTGCAAAAGCAGTGTAAGTTATATAGTTAAATATAAAAATTCTGTCTTTTTTTCTTATATGTTAAATATTTTTCAATTGTAGTTTCAAATAATATTCGAGTTAGAAGTAACTGTTTGAAGAACAAACATTTATATAAATTATTAATTTGAGATTTTTGAGAGCTTACGTTTAAAATATGAGCATCCAGCACAAACGAAAGCATTTGATTTCGGACCATTGGTAATACGGATGATTCATTATCTCCTGTTATTAATATTCCCGGTGCTGATTTCAAATTAATCCATCATGAGTATTGTTATCAATTATCTAGTATTATTAGCAAGTAATTGAAATTCGGATTCGAGTGAACTTTTTCGTGAAGTAACTGACATCCCAAACTCTGAACTCAGTGATCTTTTCATGAACGTGAAGAAAAAGAGTTATTTTCAATCTTGTAACTTTGTTACTTCGTAAATTGTGATACATTTTTCTATAAATAATTGACCATAGAATGTTTTAGACCACATTGCTTCTTGTATTCTCGCAATCAAAGCCATATATTCAGTATTTGACTGCAGCAAGTGATAACACCACCATTCATTGCAAATACATATGCAGTCGTAGAAATAAGTTCAAGAAAACAGGGGAAAAGCTAATCTATCAACCCGAGTGGAAAAAAAGTGACTAAACTATAGTTGGCTAAATTCATGAATTTTAAAATTTTATATGGAAAACAATCGACTATAGTCACTCAGTCAGTCAGGTGCTTATTTCATGGACTATTTGTTCCAAAATAGTCAGTCACTTTTTTGTACACGTGATCGTGGTTTAAAGTTTATATTAAATATAATAACAATATTGCATTAGGTTATTTTCAATCTTTGGTTTACAGATGGAATCAGTGAGATTGAAATAATTTCCGTAAAAAAATATGCGTAATTTTTGTTACTTTTAAGTAAGATTTTCACATGGGAGCGACGTGAAAGGTACGGGACATTTCTTGCGTTCAGCGCCAGTCCCTCATAACTAAAAATATTCCAATAGATGGCGCTTAGAAATAGACAAAAGGGATTTTATAAAATTATAATTCTAACAAATTGGCTCCTATCAAATTATGTGCGATCAACTAATACAATATTTTTATTTATGAAACTATATGCAAGTTCTGTCCACCAATACAAATATTTTTTTTTCTTGCAAAACCAGTTTTGGTTATGTTATACGTATTTGGCGAAGAGGGAAAAAATTTCTTTGTTTTTTATGAATTTAATGAAATAAAGTACGGAGCGAGACACATGCTTTTGCTTTGCGTCTTATTCTCTATTCCCCTTTTCATTTGTTTGCATATATTTTGGCAAAGGCTGCTACGCTACATTGGACCATTTTTTATTATTAGATACTGGCGCTGATGTCAATATTTCTTCACGTCGCCCCCATGTACATTAGGGTGTTTCCACATGAAAAATATTAAAAAGTGGCTATTATCATTTTGAAGAGCGTTAAATTCTGTATAAGATGATTTGATTTTTGATACTGATTGGTTGCCGATGTCACTTCATGGACTAAAAACACATTTGTAGATTGATTTCATGTCGCATTCACGCCAAAATCCGTAATTAATGAAATTTTAAGATTGAACAACATTAAAAACATGAAAAATAATTTTAATATCATTATTATTGCTCAAATATTTAAAAAGTAACACAAAAACTAACAATTTTACCACAATAAACCAAAACAATGCAAAATTGCCAATTCATTTGACACATAACCTGTCATTTGTCATGCGTGAGCGAATCACGATTCAAATATCATTCTGTCAAATGAATTGGCGAATTTGCATTGTTTTGGTTTATTATGGTAAAATTGTGAGTGTTTGTGTTACTTTTATTAATATTTAGGCAATTATTTTGATATTAAAATTATTTTTCATGTTTTTAATTTTGTTCAATCTTATATTTTCATCAATTACAGATTTTGGCGTGAATGCGACATGAAATCAATTTACAAATGTGTTTTTAGTCCAGGAAGTGACATCGGCAACCAATCAGTATCAATAATCAAATCATTTTATACAGAATTTAACGCTCTTCAAAATGATAATAGCCACTTTTTAATATTTTTCATGTGGAAACACCCTAATGTACATTCAGTAAATTTACTACGATTTTCGGGAATGTTTGTACGAATTTTGGTTGACCCTATTATTTTTCATTCCAAATTCAACAAGACATATACAAAAATATGTTCACGTTTTCAGTGATACTCAATAAAAATGAATCTATTTGATAACAAAAAAAAAAAAAAAACGATCAAACGCTTTAATCAAGTTGGTTGATTGATTTGGCACATCGAAAGCCCAAATTTCCGGCCGAACTATCAGCAGTATTTGATGATCGTGCCGCGCAACGATAACGATAACAATATGATTTATGACAAAGATATGATCCGCCTTTCTTCACTCTCTCCACCGTTTCCAAATCCTCTTCATCTCCACTCTCGTTCCATTTGGTATCTGTCCATTCCCAAACGTTTCCAACCATATTATACAAATCATAGTCGTTCTGCTTGAAGCGATTAATTGGACATGTCGATGTAAAACCATCTTCACCAGTGTTATCATTCGGAAATGCTCCTTGCCAAATGTTTAACCTGGATATAGGAATCAATGTGAATGAAGAATCCTTATATGTTGGCGAAAATGAAAAGAATAATTACCAATGTTTATCGCCCGGTTGCAATTTATTTCCCCATGGATATAGTTTTTGGTTTTTTCCACCGCGACACGCTACTTCCCATTCAAATTCGGTTGGCAGACGTTTGCCTTTCCATTTGCAAAACGCACTTGCATCAAACCAACTTACATGAACCACCGGGTGATCCAATCGATCACCAATCGATGAATCCACACCTTCGGGATGTTTCCATGATGTTCCATTCACTTTGTACCACCACGGTACACTAGCCACACGACTATCTTTGTATAAGTTTTGTTGTGTCGGTGTTAACTGGGCTTGAAATACAAAGCTATCACCGAACTTTTCTGAATACGTTAAATAATTGGTGGCTTGGATAAATTGTGAAAATTCTGCATTTGAAACTTCATATTTGTCGATAAAATATCCATTTACGTGAATGCTACGTTCGGGAGACTCTTGATCACTTTCAAATATCGGCTCATTCGTTCCGACCAAATAATCACCGCCAGAAATTTGCACCATTTCATCGTGAACAAAATCCGTTGTTATTGGTGCCGTGCAATACCCATTCGAAATGCCATTTTGAGTGGAATCAAATGTGGGCGCATCTTCAATGGACTTTGATCGACTTGTTTCACCGCAGCCACACTCACTGGCTATTATATTGAGGTAATTTTTAAACAAAACTAAAACAAAGATACAACATTTTATATACATTTGAGAGTTTCACCTTTCAATTTCAACTAAAATCTATTTTTTTTTTTTCAACTTTTGTCACGATAAAATTTTCATTCTTTTATATCTGAGAGTTTCTTTATTCTTAATTAAAAATGTGTTTCATGCCATGCGTGGAATTTTATATTTTTATTATCAAGTTGGTAGATACTTATGCCATAAAAAACACTACAACAGTTTTGAAAGTGGTCTGTGTATCATGGGCCACAGATGGCGTTTCGAAAAATCGGTCAATGTAATGAAGCAGTTGATGAAATTTATTCAACAAATAGTCTATTTTGAAAAGAAAGCCTCATAGATCTCAAAAATGATAAATCTAATTTGTTGTTGGTTGATTTTATATTAAATCTACCAAAATTGAATTAAGTATACCGCATTTTTTCACTCTATGTGATCATTTACTACATTTAATAAATATCGGCAATGCAGAGAGTTTTACGGTATGAGATTATTAGCTGGCATCTTAGTAATTAGTTTTTTATATAAAATTGCATCCCATTGCTTTCAAACTTTGAGATGGACCGAAAGCAGGTCATTTGGTGTCAATGAAGCAACTTTCTTCAAAACATAGCTACCATGAGTTGCGAATCGCTCGCAATTAAATGGTATCGTAATATCGCAGAAACGAAGCTGATCCTATGCAATGGTATACACGGCCGTTCAATCATGATTTTGTGCCTGATACGTAATGGATGAAAATCGTTGAAAATTGTTCCTGAATAATTATTAGCAAATCTACAAAATATATTAAAATGGAATAAAAATGCTCAAATGTTCGTACCAAACATGAAATCCATAACTTATTTATTTAGAAATAAAAAGCGAATCGTTTACAACTTGTGATTGAATAAATTCATTGAATTGAATTTATCCGCCAGTAACGAACAAATGGTCAAAATTGGTGGATACAATATTTATATCTGTCGCTCGGTTGGGAAACAAATCGGCATTTGGATTGAATTGGTGCTACTTTAATTATTGAATATCTATACACTTCATTTCTTATGCAGAGCGGCCGTTTCCAATTTTGGCTCCGGTTTCGTATGTAATCCGGACAAAAGACGCTTCAATTCAGCAATTGCTTTGCCTGGATTTAAACCCTGGAAAATTAAATACAGAAAATCACATTAAAATTTGTGCGGATTTATGGGGGAATTAAAGTGATCAAAATGAGCGGGAGTGAAAATTTAAAAAAAAGAACAAAAAATAAAATTGAGAAGGAAATAAATTAGAGCAAAAAAAAATTGGGATATAAAGGAAAAAGATTGATGGATATGATTATACCTTCGGGCATGTTTTCGTGCAATTCATAATTGTATGGCATCGATAGACACTGAATGGATCTCTCAAGCGATCAAGTCGATCTTTAGTCGTGTCATCACGTGAATCGATGATCCAACGATAAGCTTGCATAAGAACGGCCGGTCCTAAGTACTTGTCAGCATTCCACCAGTATGACGGGCACGATGTTGAACAGCATGCACACAAAATACACTCATACAAACCGTCAAGTTGTTTACGATCTTCAACATCTTGCAAATATTGCGCATCACCTTTTTTCTCGGTGGTTCTAAAAATGACAATGATTCATTGTAGATTAATGCCAATTGAATCGCACATCAACCAAATATTGAGTACAATATTAAGGTGGACTTTGATCTAGAAAAAAATTGAACGGAATTGAAAAAAAGGTGCTCACTTTCTTTGCAACCACGGTTGAATTGAGGTATATTGTTTATAAAAGTTGCTCATGTCCGGCACCAAATCGCGAACAACATACATATGCGGTAATGGATAGATTTTGCATGGCTTATTCAAATCTGTATCGATTTTACTGATGCATGCCAATGTATTTGTTCCGCCAATATTCATGGAGCATGATCCACAGATACCTTCACGGCACGATCGACGAAATGTCAACGTTGGATCGATTTCATTTTTAATTTTAAGCAATGCATCCAGAACCATTGGTGCACAATCGTTCAAATCGACTTGATATTTCTGCATGTGTGGTTTTTCATTTGGTTTGTCCGGATTCCATCGATAAATCTCAAATGTTTTCACTCGCGGTTGTTTGGTTGGTGCTGGTTCAGCGGCAGCAGCTGCAGCATCCGATGTTGATGTATTGAGGAATCGAATCTATTTTTTTGATTAAAATTAAGACACGGATAAGATAAAAAATTTATTATTATTATGGAATTTTCTAGACATTTTCAAAATTTTCTTTTCGACAAAATTAATCTGTGATGAATTCAAAAGTTTATGATGACATTTCAATGTTACAGCGTAGTTTGGGCAAAAAAATAAGACTCAAAACAAATTCTGTACATGTTATGCAATCATATTTGTCTCTAGTTCATATGATATATCCAAATGTATTAGATGAATGGGGGAGAAAATATGTGCAAAAGAACGAGAAAAAAAACTAACAAACGTACCTGAGTCAAGAGACCTCGGTTGATTAACAGACGACGAGCTTCCATAGCGAATACCATTTCAAAACACTGTGGATTAATTATTTTTTGTTTAAAAAAAACCGATTATTCTTTTATCAATTGAATCGTGAAAATATTGAAACGACACTGCGTTTGCAAAGTTTTCGACTGACACTTACTGCATTTTTCATATGTGTCAAATAGAATTTCTCTATATACGATACTCGTGCGTACTAACATACATACGATGTGAGCGTCATCTGTTGTGAAAAATCAGGAGAAATCGATTTTATAGTTGCGACCAATGTGTTGAAAATGTTAGTTTGACATTTTAAATAAATCAATTTTTTTTATTTAACCAAAAACTAACTACAGTTGTCACCACAGTAACATAAAATCAATTGTCTATTTGCGAAATTATCAAGCCATACGTCATCGGTTCGTACCAGTCAAGAAAAAGCCCAAGTGATACAGAAGTAAAAGTGCTTTTTTTACATTTATTCATTCACTGGACAAATGATGTAAATCGTGGCATTTCGGTGTGTCAGTGCGGTGTTTGTTTGTTGATGTAAACATTGATTTTTGGAAATTGCACAATTCGTCGCAACGCTGTTGATACGAGATGTGCACAAATAATTTATCGTTACACTTAATACCAACATCACATCGATCGACATTTGTGTGAGATCGAAGTTTTTATTCTCTGTTCCTTGCCACTATCAGTTTTCAAATCAACACAACTACTTTGCCATACATTCACTATTTCGTCAAACAAAATCGACGAAAATTTCGTTTTTTTTTAAAAAGTAAATTGTAATTTTGAGATTAAATTGTGGCTTTTCCATCGAAAATGTTTAACATATCCAATTTTCAATACGAAAATTGCGGCAAAAAATGCAAGAATCCAGAGCATAGTGAACGTATTACAGGTGTTTTACTGAATAATTCATTACCCGATGATAAAATAGCCGCATTCATTGCAAAAACTTGCCGAAATTTCGCTCATAATTTGAATCATCAGGTGGGCATTTTATGTTCGGTCTAAGTGTTTTGTCCTTGTTAATCAATATTCACTATTCACATTATTGAGTGAATATATGAATCAATCGAGTCGTAATTAAGTGCAATTTTCTCATTCACACAATCGTTGTTACAGGGCCAAACTGCTTTACACGCTGCAACTGCAGGACACAAGTATGCAGTCGTCGAATGGCTCATCAATAATGTCAGTTTTTTTCAAAATTAATAATTTCAAAGAGAATTAAAAAAAAAAACATAAGATTTTTTGAATCATTTACTGAATTTTTAAACTAATATTTGTTATATACAAAAAGGGTGCCGATGTCAATTTACCTGATAAACAATTAGGTAATTGTTGTCACTGCATATAAAAAAGAAAGAATATAAAACTAAATCGATATGAATGGATTTTCACAGGTCAAACAGCATTACATCGAGCCATTAATAATGGATATTTTGATATTGCATTGTTATTGCTTAACTATGGCGCATCATTCGAAATTAATGATTTCAAATTAAAAGCACCCGTACAATATTGCTGCAAACCCAAAAATTACGTTCACGAACAATCGCAGATTAAAGAACAGTAAGTATCATTTCAAGAAATTTATAGCAATTGATTCTTACGATTTCTTTTGTGGTGGAAATGAAACTGTTGTTCAAAGTTGGAAAAAGCCAAAAAAATTGAACTCAAAAATGAATACCGGAATATTATTTTGTGGGAAAAAAATTCCACCACACCAATTTGGATTATCAGATGTAATTACTGATTCTATTTCTCTCACGTTTCGAATTATTTATAATATATGAAATGATGAACTGATTAAAAAGTGCCCCTTATTCTTATTCTTCTTCGTTTTTAAATGTTAATTTCTCTTCCTTTTCAGAGATCAACAAAAAGAGATTCTTGTGTGGGGAAATAATCGAAACTACAATTTAGGCTTGGAAGACAAAGAGGGAAAATCCTATCCGCATAATTTGGATTGTTTTTCCAAGCAAAATGTTTCAATCAATAGTGTTAGCTTGAGTTGTTATCATTGTTTGTATGTGGATGATAAAGGTGAATTGTATGCGGTTGGTTTGGGCGATGGTGGTCGTTTAGGAACAAATAATGAAACTACATTGGTTTTGCCGCGAAAAATTTACCTCACCAATAAACACAAGAATGAACGTGTCATCAGTGTATCGACCGCACGGAATCATTCAATCGTTTTAACGAATGATGGTCGGATTTTTACGTGCGGTTTAAATACGCATATGCAGCTGGGCCAACGAAATCCGATCGAAAAATCATTAATTATGCGAGAAATTGATATCGGGTAACAATTGCACATTTCCCACTTGTTAACCTTTTCGCCTGTTGCAATAAATCACGACTGAATTTGATCGAACTGGAGACTATTGAGATCTGCATCAAATTCAGTAGTTCTTTCATGCAGAACTAATCATTGATTTTTTAAACTATATATGATAAATTTGGTGTTTCAGTGATCGTGGCCATTTTAATGGTGTTATCGCACGTGATTATCACTGTTTGGCGTACACATCAAATTCCGTTTATGTGTGGGGTACGAATTGTGGACAATTTGGATTGCCCATCGATGACGTCAAACCGATAACAACGATCGCTCAACCGAAAAAGGTAGCTTTTATCACAATAAATATTCACCTGCCTAAATAATACTTTTGAATTTTTTATTTTTTCAAAACTGTCAATGTCAAAATTACTTACCATTAGAAAAATAATTCAAATGGCTATCGATGATTTTCCTTTCAGTTGGAGACATTTTCACATGACATTGCATATGTTGATTCAACTAATGGAGCGATTGTTGTTCTCACCACATCGGGTTTGATGTTATTGTATACAAATCACAAGGTGAAAACGCTAAAAAAGCCCATATTGCACGAGTCAATCAAGCACATTGCTGTAGTCGGTGGTAATTCAACCAATATGAATACTCAGGAAAAAGGACAAAGTCGAACAAAACCATCAGTTTCAACGCATGAAAAGTGTATGATAAATCGAATCACCAATTTTTATTGATCAATTTTTTTTTATTCATTCCAATTTTTCTATTTTACAGTTTCAACATCTGACCCATTGGAGATATTAGTTTTAACGCAATCGGATACGTTGTTTCTCTGGTCAAATGATGAGCAAAAATATTTGCGATGTTTTATGGCCCATTCATTTTCCATAAAAAATGTCTATTGGTGTAATCGAATGGTGGTGTTAATATTGGCCACCGATGGCATTCTCTACAAAGGCACCATCACCAGGCATTCAGTCAATCCGAAAGAATGTCGTGGCTGCGATGAAGAGTTTGTTGAAATCAATCGTCGAATGGATATTAGTGAGACGCATAAATGTGACATCGTTTTAACGCGAATACCAAACATTGATCGTGTTACAAACTGTTCTGTTGATCAAAATGGTGAATCATTCGTTGCTTTACAAGAGTATTCGAAACGATATCTTTTTATTCCACATTTACCCGATGATCCAATCACATTTAAAGCATTACTTAACGAAACCAGTGAATTTGATTTACTGCATGACATCGTTTTTCATGTAAGTTCACAAATGAATGGAGGGAAAGAGAAGTTATTGTGGGAAATAGTGCTCTGACCAGAGTTTCTGTAGCTTCTGAATAAATTTTTGAAATCCATTATGTCGATTGTGTCATTTGGGGTCAAAATTCAAAAATTTTGTTGAAGTGATGAAAATGAATTTCTGGCAGAAAGAAAATCAGCAAATTTGATTTTTTTTAAATTGAAAAGGCAAATAAAAATCCCCCAAAACTCTTTTTTCCTCTAAAAAATTTGAAATCTTCTTCTTAAACAAATGTTAAAATTGTAAAATGTCGACATCGCAAATAGGTTGAGGATGAAGTGTTTCCAGCGCACAAATACATTGTCTACTCACGTGCCGAAGGATTGCGTGAAATCGTACGAAAATACAAAGACAAACACATTTATTTGAACTACGATGGTTTAACATCAAAAATGTTTGAGCTCATGATGAGATACATTTATGAAAATTATACGTTAAGCATGACGGATATTGAGGATGTTGAATCATCATTTGATCCGTACAGTGGTCTTACAAATCTAGACATCTATACTCTATTCCGCGAGTATATGGGAAAATTTGGTGTTTCAAAATTGTTTGATCGTTTGATGACGCCGTCAGAAATCAAAGAGTCCCCACTAAAATTGAATCGCCTCAGTTTTCCGGAATTGTACGATGTGACGATACAATGTGCAAACGATCGTGATATAAAAGCGCATCGATGTATATTGAGCACACGATTGGAGTACTTCAATTTAATGTTCAACAGTCATTGGTCGGAATCGCAAAAAGATGTAATCAATTTAAAAACGATTCCATTTGAATATATGGAACCAGTTATCAATTTTCTCTATCACAATGACACAAATCTGATTCGAAAAAAAGACTATACCGATTCATTTTTGTATGGTTTAATGGAAATTTGTGATCAATTTTTTGTGACGCGTTTGAAGAATATCATTGAAATTATGATGATTGAACGAATGACATTGAAAAAATGCGCCGACATGTATGAATTTGCAACGGTGTTCAATTGTAGTCTTCTCGAATCGGCGAGTTTGGATTTTATTTGTCAAAATATGAGCCGTTTGCTGGAGAATCGTTGCTTAGAACATTTGCAAATCGAAAGTATGGAAAAAATATCCGAATATTATCGACAGGTATTTCAAATTAGCGAAAATGGTGAGCATGTGATGAGTACGGTATTCGGTGGTTGTATTCGAGACGAAGATGTGATATCGTTTGTCGATGATTTTTATGTGGATTTATTCCAGAAAAAAGATACAGTTGCGAAATCGGCGACGATTTCAACCACAACAAAGCCAAAAAAGACCGAACGTCTGTCGAGCGATCGACGAAATTATGAGAAAGAAGCTATTAATCTCGTGAAAAATCTATCGATTGAAGAAAATACAGCGACAAAACAAAAACAACCCGTCATCGACGATAGTATTATCATTGAAGCCGAAGAAATTGCAAGATCATTCACAACGGAATCCACGAAATGGATGAAAGTGACCGATAAAAAAGACGTAAAAAAGAAAATCGTATTGGCTGGCCTCAAATCGAATGATGTTCTACGAAATGAACCAAAAGAATTGGAGAATTTCACACCATTAAAATCGTCAAAAACAATGAGTCAAGGTATAATCAGATACTATCATTGTTCCATTGCCCATTGATTAATTTTCATTTTTCTTTTCTAATTCTACCTTCAGGTTCGAGTGCTGGTGACCAAAGTGATTTGGATAAATCCACAACGCCAATACCAATCGAATCACCGTCGGAGAAAAGCTCCACGTTCAATTTAAGTTTGGGCGATTTCACACCACAAAAAGGAACAAAACTATCACAAAAGCAACGACGACGTCAATTATCACAAAGTGAAAAAAGTGAATGTTCGCCGTCGTCGATCAAACACACTGAACAATCACCATCGAAAAAAACAGTTGCATGGAATGCATCAACAACTTCAACACCCGAACAGACAAACGTGTGGAAAGTGAAATCAACACCAGATGCAACAGTGAATAAAACACAACCGATTAATATTGCATCAACCAGCAAAGCAAATGCAAATCATTCAAATGCATCGTTTAATGAAAGCTTTTATTCATTGTCACCGATCAAGTCTAGTGTACACAGCGGTTCCAACGATGACGACAGCACAACTAGTTTCACAAAAATTTTAGTAGACGAACGACGTCAAAAGGAATATTACAATAAAATGAAGAGCAAATCATTGTTGCTGACGCAAATTGAGGAGACAGCCATCGATGAACTGAAGAAATTTTATAACATTGACAATGTTTGTGATGAACATATTGAAATTGAACGAAAACCACATGTTACAGCAACCGTTAATTTTGCCAAATGGAAACATAACTAATTTGCATGAAAAAGAAGTCCTAGAGAGAGAGAGAGAGAGAAATTGTAAAAGTAAAATGCTACTCATTTCAAACTAATTTATGGCCAGAGTGAAATTTTTGTTTGCATATTTAAAATATTTTATTTTTGGTATTTCTAGTTACCATCTGATTAGTACATTTTTGCAGTTTAATTACAAATTCATGAAAATAGAAAGAATAGCATGTATTTATATATTTGGAAAGTTATATAATAAAAATCAAAACTTTAGTCAATCCACTCCAGTCATTTCAATGTTTGAAATCAAATCTCTTTTCTTCGAAACAAATAAATTTAAAAAAATTGTAGATTTGTTGGATACTACAATTGAAACTACATACGTCAAGACATAAAATTATATGGTTGCACTAGTTTTTAAAGATATTTTTAAATGATTGCGCTAATTGACGTCCCCACCAAATTTCTTTCGTACAATTTCTTGTGAATTTAAAAAAAATTGTTCTATCTTCAATTCTCAAGCATCTTTTGCTTTTTACGTGTCGCACAATCGAAAATATTATTGGTTTTGTTTGGCCCGGATGAAAGAAATGTTTTCCAAAATTATTTATAATAAAAAAAATGAATAAAATTGGCATTTTTTCTAAAATATTCAACTTCATGCTCATGCATATGATTGTCGTGAATTTTGTCAAAAGAGGTCGTTCTGTGTCGCATACAAATGAATAGGCTAATAAATAAGGCTGAAAAAACGCTGTCACATGATTGAGTCAATCATTTGACATGAAAAGATATCTATAGGAAAGAAAAACGACAACACAAGTGCAGTGGCTGCGAATCTTGTGATTACACACGAAACACTGAAATTCCAGCAACATTTTTTATCGTTTTAAAAACAAGATAATTGATTTTGTTCATTTGAAAAAGTGCTAAACAACGGAATCATGCAGATTTGTGGTCCAAAATTGTCGCTTTGCGGTTTGATTCTGTCCGTATGGGGAATTATTCAATTGGTAAGTAACAAAAAAAATTTTCGCTTTCTCGTGATATCATATGTACAATGACAAAGTATTTGAATACAATAAGAATTCAAATGATGGTTCTCTTTTGTTTGAAAAATCATTGATAAACATTCTTTTTGAAATGGAACATTTTGAATTAAGGACAGACAATTGAATTAAAATTAATTTGATTTTGTTTGGACAGACCTTGATGGGTATATTCTATCATATGCGCAGTGTGGCATTGATTGAAGATTTGCCGCTTAACCATTACCACACACCAAAAGAATTCTTCAACGCTGCTGATCTGGCATACTCACAGGTAATTTTACAATATAAAAAACCCGAAACAATCAAATGTTTCCCATGAAACAGAAAGAAATTCAAAAGGTTTTCTATGGACCAGAAATAGATATGGAACTTCTACATAGGCGGACTTGTATTGAATTTCATTGTTAAAAGTTTAATCCGTTTGCGTGATTTTCTTTGTTCGAATGAATTCGCTGTTCGATTTGAAACTAATCGCTTGTGTTATATGTTTGAACATTTCAGAATGCACTTAACTGTTGGATAGCTGCCTGTATCTATGTGGTGACATTGTTGGTGTCAGGACAACAATTTTATGCAAATAGTCGCACAACCGCTTAAGACCACAAAAAACCCCAAAAAAAATCCAACAAAATTGGGCGTTCTTTTAATTTAAATTTGAAGCATTTTCAAGTTTTAATTTGAAACATTTTTTTTTTTTTGCAAATATATTTAATTGTTTCAAAGTATTCAAATATCAAATTGTTCCATAATAAGTTTGTGAAAAATGTAATTAATAATAAAAAAAACATTCAACAGTATGTGTTAGTTTAGTCAAAAGGGACATTTTGTATTATTATTATTTTTTTCGTAGGAAAAATGTGATTTTATGCGATATTGATTATACCAAAACGTCTTTTCAATGGTCAATGGAGATGGTCGGCATCACGTGAATATCGTTCACATCTCTTGAAAAAAAATCACATAGTAAATTTGGTCGTCTCCATCATATTGATTCATATGGAAACTGTCAGACGAAATACATACGCATTTCTTCGCTGTTGTCAATATCGATTTGGCCAATGCAACAACTACTGTGTATACAATATTTACAGAAGCAGCACAATGCCAGTGTTTCACATACAGACAAAGTTGTACACATACGCGATGAATGTACACGCAGGCAAGCACATATACACATTTGTATGTATCGTGTTTGTACACGGCCTCACACAACATATAATCAAAAAAATAAACATGCTGACTTGCCGATGTAATCGGCTATACCGCGTCAAATAAAATCAGTCACGTAGGACATGTTCAAATGATCAGTAGTTCATTCGTGCCGGAACAGTTTCTTTTATTAATACTCTTCAGTCTCTCGTTGCCGAGATTTAAATAAAACAGTTTTCTTATAATAACGAATTTTAATAAATCCATTTTACGCCAACAAATTCGGTTCAAGCGAATTGAATAGTTTTTTTCAAAAAAAAAACAAGTGAATCAATTTTCACCTCGAACGATAAAGTAAACTTTCTTTCTTTGCGGCGAAATCGTGTAAATCTAGCCACAATCTAGAAAAAACAACAACAATCATTTTCGCTGAGATTTCGATAGTTTTAACATCCGATTTGCCATTCAAATCGCCCTGGAAATCATTTGTGCAAATTAATAAAAAAAAAAAAAACATTTTTAAAGCAACGACTTTGCGTCAAACTTTCGACGAAAATTGATATTTGAAAAAGAAGACACTTCGGTTTTTATTTTTTTAAAAGCGATTAAATAAATCAAATTGATTTCAAATTTACTTCTTCCGAGATTACAAATACCAATGATTTGAATACTCAGCGCGCGCGTGTGTTTGTTGAAATAAGTTTATTTAGCGAGAAAAAAGTGTGTCATTTCTACCGGAAAACAACAAACTTATCGACAAAAAATACATCGGTCACTATTTGATTTGTTCGTTCACTTATCACTTTGTTTCCCGGATTACACATACAAGATGTTCTCGAAGCTGACCAAAGTCACGTCGGCCCTACCATCATTTTCCATGATGCGTGTCAATCATAATATTTGCCATACCAAATGGATCTCGACCAGTTCTGGTAACAATCGCAGCGATGTACTCACACAAAATCAACAACAAACAAACGATAAACTTAAATTGGAGCAACAAGAACGATGGCGCATAAGACGCACTGAAAGGTAATATAATATAATCAAATCATAAAAAGAAACCATATCGCACAAATTCTACACGAATTAGAGTAAACTATACATTTTTTTATCAAATGATAATTATTTGATAATGATGTTATTTGTGATTGCGTAATTGCAAACAGAGGCATCTTACACAACAAGCTCATCGATTTTCATTTGGCACCTTTTTCTAGCGAAATGTATTGGGCTTTGAAGTGAGTTTAAACTCACTTCCACGGATGGTTCGGGGCATTGACTTTCGTTATCAAAGCAATGATTCAATTGAATGCGAGTATTCAAACTATGTGACAGAAAAGAATGTAGGCAAAGGAATTTGTACGAAGAAAAAAAGAATTACGGAAAAAAAAGGTTCCATTTCTACCGTTTACGTTCTCTGCAAAGAATTTCTTTATCATTTTACACGAAAACCACATGCATTTTATCGGTCATAAACGTCATATCACAACATTCATGTTTTATATAAACGTACGCCAAACGGTAACGCACCAAATGTTTTTGCCGGTAATTTATAAATAGAACTCACCGATTCACAATTGAATCGTGTATTAAAATCATTTTCTTCGTTGCTTCACATTCGAATGTTCAAATCAACTCGAAATTATTAGATCGATTTGTTGCCTTCTGTTTTTGCGTCATTTGAATCTCTTTGTTCAAAGTATTTTGCAGTTGTTTTATTATAAAAACACAACAAGAATGGAACATTTATCGAGTGTCACCTAGCCAGACTGCAAATGTTGTTTCTTCTTTTTTTGAACAAATATTTTTTTTCTATATTTTGACGTACATTTTTTTTACAATTCGAATATTTGTGTGACTAATACTTGAATACTTAAAAAAAATTGAATCGAAAAAGACTGATATTTTAAAAGAACGAATTAAAAATCGTATTCAAATCGTTTGTACAAGGAAGTAAATTCAATTGATATAATTGCGCAATAAAATGTCGTGCATTCGCGGCAAAGTTGATAGAATATATGATATATGCACTGAGTGCATTGTGCGTAGTATAAATATTTTGAAATGAGAAACAGCTGATTTTTTTTATGATGACTGTACACAGTACACATGTGTGTATGTGTGTGAGTGACAGAACCCATCTTTTAACACATATACAACGTTATTGAATAATAAGCACTTTTGGTATTAGGTGAACGTTCCTTTTTCTCTCACTCTCGAATTTGTTGTGTGTTTTGTGTTCTACATTTTTCTTGTACGTCGACGTCGTCGTTGTCGAATGTTGTGAAACGAATCGGTGTCTTGTTTCGTTTCTGGTTTTCGATGTTGTTTATTTCGATGAGTTTTGGGTGTGTGCGCAAATGCTTCTCTGTATATGTGTTTAAGCCTTCTGCTCATGTTGGCTTAAATTTCCGTTCATGTTCGTTGAACAGAATGTATTTTATTGCGTCGTGTCTAAATTAAGCATAAGATATGAGTTAATGGTACACTATTTTTGGTGAGACAGCATCGAGAATGACACAAACCATACCATTTTCTCTTTTGACTCAGGCTAAATGCTTAGTTGCCAAGTTTATCAATGCCTGGAGCAAAACACGATCGCATGAATAAACGTGCATTTGAATTTTTCTCTCTTTCGTCCCCGTCTCTGTTTCCTTTCACAAACGAAAAAAAAACCTGATTTTTTCAATCAAACAAATGCAAACCGAATACGATACACTTTTCGTGCATATTATAATTATGATGATTTCTATCTCTCAATTCTGTTCTAATCAAGTGACTCGCAACTACTAAATAAGTTGCATTTGATTGTCAAGGTTATAATGTTGTTTTAATTCATCATAATCAACGACGTAGGTGCGTCTGGCCACTTGTTTGTTGAACAAAAAAAAACAGAAACAAAATTTTAACTGACGGCAATCGTATCGAAGAAAGTTCATTCAATTACATATGTTTTATGAGGTGTCAATCAGGTGTCGTTGTGATTTAGTTTTCAGTTGAATTCAACAAAAACAAACACGAATGGATCGCATGGTGTAAACAAAGGTGTGATGTCATATACATAGAAACACCATATATGCATGAAAACTATACTAATGACGAACAGAACAATGAATAGAATATCAAATAAATATTCATTATAAAGACTCGATTTGTTGTCTTTTTCATCGTTTTGAACGTATTCCATAGTTACAGACTTGGAAATTGGATGATTTTGCGTACGAATTTTTATTTGGCATATCGGCATTTTTAATGAGCACACACCCGTTTTAATTTGGCGCTTGGGCGCTTTTACATTAGATTCCAATTTATATATCGACATGCTTTTATCATGAAGCCGGTTTGGTGGACCTCTTATCAAACGCTGTCCACATTCTCATTATTATTTGATTGAAGCGAAGAAGCATCAGTGCTCTTATCAAAACCAGTGACATTGGTAGTATGAACGAAAAATGGAGGACGGTGGAATGAGCGTCTAAGTAGAGTAAGAGACAGACAGATATGGAAAACGTGAAACCCCAATAGCACAAAATCAAATGACAAATTGGCGACTTACAGACTGTATCATACAGTAACAAGATTTTCGTGAGTTAGTAACACAATTTGAACAACAAAGCCATTTAAGTTCATGTATACACACTTCATTCAAGCACTTTGAGCATACGAACAACATTCCAATTTCCAATTCTATGACGACAAAGTCAATATAGCACAAAGAGAGTGAGATAGAATGACAGAATTAGAAACACACAGAGAGATAGAGTGAGGAGGGAATACTAGAGGGGATATGATTTGTATTCGAATGAGTTGGATCTGTGATCGATCGATAAAGGTTAAAGATCAAACTTGAAGTTAAAGATACACGAAAGAAATATAATCTCTTGTTGCTGTTGCTTTATCGCTGAGAATGCACACATCCAAATGATTTTAAAAATGTCGTTTATTTAGAGTCAATTCTTATTCTCTCTACAATCTCAACAGGCAATTCAGATAGCTACATTTTAAAAAAAATAAACAAAAATGATAACCGAACCGAAGGCATTCATTTGACATAGACATACATAGTTGCATTATCTCATGTTATAGTAAACTCTCAAATATTATTTGTTATTATCTTGTGTCACTTGACGTGAACGTGCTGCAAGCAAACACTTTGTTTACTTCTCGTTCAGTTTTGTTTTGCGTGCTACGATGTTTTCGCTCTAATCATTGCACGATGCAAGATACCTTTGAATTAAACAGTTGAATTTACATTTCATAATAATCTCTGTGGAAATTTTATGCAATTTTTTTCTTCTTCTCTCTCTCTCTCTCTCTCTCTCTGATTCATTCAATACTTTCAAGTCAAAAGAGACTACGTAGGTTGCTCCATAATTTTTTTTTAAATGGTACTTATAGTGTTGCCCGATGTAAACCATTGTCATATTCGTAAAGTTTGATGTTTTGGTATGTATTCGTGCCCTGAACCTTTTGTCGTACGAACGCTATTTGTATTGTTTACAGTGACTGGTAAACTGCGACTCAACAAAAAAATGAATTTTACACGTGAAGATTTTCGTAAAATGATTTACTACGATTTTCGAAGTAAATTATCTCAACAACAGTGTTTCGATCGACTTCATTTGGCCTTTGGCAATGAAGCACCAACCCTTCAGACAATTTATAACTGGTACCGAGAATTCCGTTGCGGTCGTAGTTCGCTCAAAGACGAGTTTCATACAGGTCGTCCAAAATCGGCTGTTGTGCCACAAAACATCGATGCTGTCAGAAAACTGATTATGGAAGATCGTCATGTGACCTACCGTGAGATTGAGGCATCTTTGGGCATTTCATCCCACAGCATACATACAATTTTGCATGAACATTTAGCCGTAAAAAAGATTTGCTCTCGTTGGATCCCACATAAATTGACCGATGAACAAAAAATGGCTCGTGTGAGTTGGTGTAAAGAAATGCTCAAGAAATTCAATCGTGGTGCTTCAAAAGACGTTAATAAAATCGTCACTGGTGACGAATCGTGGATATATGCCTATGAGCCCGAAACGAAACAGCAGTCGACTGTATGGGTCTTCCAAAATGAAGATAACCCAACGAAAGTTGTTCGAGCAAGAAGCACTTCGAAGCGAATGGTCGCCTGTTTTTTCGGGAGAAGTGGTCATGTGGCAACCGTTCCACTAGAGGATCGTAAGACCGTCAATTCTGATTGGTATACCACCATTTGTTTGCCCGAAGTGTTTGGTGAAATAAGAAAAAACAACCACCGTCGCAAAATAATTCTTCATCACGATAATGCGAGCTCTCACACATCTTTTCAAACTACTCGATTTTTGACCGGTCAAAACATCGAACTGATGGGTCATCCACCGTACAGTCCTGACCTGGCACCCAATGACTTTTTTTTGTTCCCAAGCGTGAAGAAAAAACTACGTGGTCAACGATTTTCGACACCAGAAGAAGCAGTTGAAGCGTTCAAAACACACGTTTTGGAGATATCAGTTTCGGAGTGGCACGAATGCTATGACAAATGGTTTCATCGAATGCAAAAGTGTATCGATCATCTCGGGGAATATTTTGAAAAACAATAAAACCATTTTCGACAAAAAACAACTGTGTTATATATGTTTTTAAAAAAAATTATGGAGCAACCCTCGTAATTGAATGCATCGCCGATTCATGCAATTATTATTGAAATAAAAGATATTTTTATCGTGGCTGACAAGCATAAATGTTTTTATGAAAATGACAAAGATGCGCATTGAATCGGTATTGTTGATGTGATTGAAACTTTCTCCGGCAAAATGAATATCATTTGTTGGAAATACAAAATCATTGTAAAATGTCATATAAATATTAGTAATATTTTAATAAATTGAAATGCGAGTCAATGATCCAATTGAAGACCAAATTATTGAATAACATATTGAGCATTGAAGGAGACACAATTTGATGGCAATGAATTGATTTTGGAATTTCGGATTTTGGTGGCCGGTAGTTAATTGACTTTTGTCGATGGCTGTAATATCGGACGACGACGGCTCATCGATGTGGTTAAAAGGGGAGGTGGTAACACATTTAGAATGCCATCGAAATAAATTAAAACAATTTAGTGTTGAAAACCCTGAAACGGAAATTGCTTTTTGATTTGTAAAATGATCACAATTGGCCGGCAATTTCCTTTTTGGTTTGATGCACCAAAAAGCGTTCAACCGAAAAAGACATTCACATGGTGCGCCGTTGCGTAATAAAGCTCATTTGCTTTGTATGTCTCTCTATCGCTCTTTGTCTCTATCTCTACCCCTCTCTCTCTCTTCCACCTTCTCTGCCTTCGTTTTGACTGTCTTCGCCTCTATTTCTCAAATATAAAACAAAAATGTGTGGATTTGTATGAGTGTGCATATGTCTGTTTGCCATTTAATTCCTGTGCAATTTTGCACCTAACATTTTATTTATATTGAATTTAGATATCGACAAATGCCAAATACAAACATTACATATTACGCATGCGCAAAGCATTTAACCGAATCGGCCGAGCAACAAACATGCGATCATTGTAGGGGGTATTTCATTTTTAGTTTTTTGCTATTTTTGAATTACATTCGATGTGTACGTGCAAAAGAATCAACCGTGTGTCAATAAACCAATGGATTTTGATTTTATGGTTACACACAAAAAACAATATACACAGATATAAAAGATGTGTATAGACTTTTTTTGCACGTTTTGATGTTGTAACAACGAACTCAACTTTGGTGAATATGAACGGTGCTAGACAATCCAAAACTAAACCATAATTCTCATTCTTGGCCATGTAGCAACACAACTATTCGATGCAAATCACTAATGATCACAAATGCAATGAATTAATTGCATGAATGCGTTTGTATGTGAAATCAAGATGATTCAGCTACCGCTGATTGTGCATTACAAAATGTAAAATAATAAATGGTCGATGCCCATAGGATTTGAAATGCATTCCACACGCGTTATGATCTTTCGAATACGTCTCTCTCTCTTTCTCTCTCTCAGTCCACCTCTATCCCACTGAAACTTATGCATTGATTAAATAGATTCGAATGGAACACGTTTTTCTCGTTTCGTTTGCCATTCGAGAGTTGAGTCCAAATTTATCCAAAACATACTCAAAACTTCGTTTCACATTTCCACACTCATTGATTCTTAACACCATTTGCGTTTCTTCATCTTATTCAATTTGTTTTTTTTTTTTGTTTTTAGTTGATTTCGTTGCAGACCGTTATGTTTCGGTGAGATGTTGTTTCATTGTAATCGAATCAACAATGAATATCATCTCATTTCGGAGCGAAATCAATTTCAAAGTTGTTATTTTCAACGTTTTAATTAATACGCAATTAGAAAATTGGCAAATTGTAACAAAACAGAAAATTAACACACACGTAAAACGACGAAAAAAAGATTCAGATGAATTCATAACAACAGAAGGTTTAGCCTAAGGTTGTTTTTATTTTTTTTTTTCAAACATTGTTTACACCTAATTATAATTTCAATACGCGCTACTGACAATAGCCTACTGTAAACACTAAACATTTGTGTGTCTTGCCCATTTTTATCACCGCAAAAACAATCACATAAACATACGCCTCGTGTTTTCCATGTATTTTCTTTAACGATTATTATTCTGTTTTTTTTTTTTCGAAGTCAAAGATAATGCATAAAGTCAACGTCTTTGTCACCGAACCCACACGTGTTGGCCGATGTAATTAATGTACATGATCCTAGGTATGAGGTTATAAGAGAACCACTGGCCAGATTTTCTTCGACTATAAAATTCCAGGTTTTATTTTTTACTCAGATTTTTTTTAGAGACGAAAACTAGATTGAAATATTTTATTTGTTTGTCGTAAATATAATAGTTCTTGCGAAGTGAGGTCATGTTTCCTTACAAATTACCTTAACAAATAAATTCTTTGAAAGACATTTTGTATTCCTAATATTCATTTTATTATTCGTCTTAAACATTACTATAACATAAGATCGTTTTAATTTGACGACCAAAATGTTCTTCAAAAAGAAAAGAAAGCTGAATGCAATGGATTATTTGTTTAATTTTATTCAAGGGTGAAAACAATGGCTAATACTAATGACTATACCCATAAAATGACCCTTCTTGCGAATTTACAGCACTCATTTGGATTTTTTCACAAAAAGTTATTTGTGTTTTAATGCTTTGCTTCTTTATTTTCTTCTTTTCATACATCGAATATGTTTGATGAAAATAAATTCAATGGAATTTTTCATTAAAATGCATAAAGGTATCATTGTTGCTGATAATTATTAATCGAAACGCGAAATGAATGAGAATACGTTTTCTATCTATCACCATCATCTGAATCCGTTGAGTTTGAATCCCATTCAATTCGATCTTCGTAATATTTGATCACCATTTGCGGGTATTTTGCATTGATTTGTGTTGATGGCACGAGATCCACTTCATTTGATCCTTTCCATTTCACCATGCACAACAGTCCACCATTGATCCGATCCCGACCTATACCTATAAGTTAAGAGAAAAAAATTCATTATAAATGATTTTCACAGAAAGTAGAAATGACATAAAGTTTGGAAAGAAGAGCAAAAAAATTCTAAAATAAAATTGTTAGAAGCAAACGAAATCACATTTCCAATGTGAATAAAGTCACCTGAAAAATGGTTGACATTACCATATTATTGATGTGAATAGTTAAAAAAAGAACAATTCTTTTTACCAAATTAATTCACTTCCTTTTTTGTATGATTTCGTGCAAAAAGTACAAAAGAATCCAATTAAATTATATAAAATTGTTTTTCTTACCAAGAATTTCTTTGAGTTCGAGCCCTTGTTCGAAACCAGTTTTTTTCGGTGATAAAGATTTCTTCAATGCCGGAAACGAAGTTGATTTTTGAACGAATTGGTCGACCGGCAGCAACGGCGACGGCGGCAACGACAATATTTCACTTGAACCTGAAACGTCTGTTGACTTTGAACTGTTAGATACAATAGAAATACTTTCATCTGATTTCAAATCAAACTGGTTTTGAACGCTGTTTTGCGATACGTTCATCTCTTCAACACTTTTGCATAGATCTTGTTCGTTCGACATTTTTTTTTTACAAAACTTGCGGTCTAGTTTATATGAATGAAATAGCACAAAAAAAAACAAAAAACGGCAAACTGATAGGTGTTTATTGTAAGACGTTCTTACTAAAACTGCAAGTCACATGTAACTTTAACAAAGTGATATGGTCCGTGGTCATTAGTAAAACTCATTTGTCGACAGATAAAAAGTAGTTTAACCGAATACGCTTGGTTCGTAAGTCTTCGAACTCTAAAAAGGAACACATCATAAAAACAATAATCGTTTTGTAAATATCATCCCAACGCAATCTAATATTTAAATGTTTAAGAAAAACGGAAAATAAATGGAAAAAATATGTTTTCTTATACACTCTTCGTTTTTAACGAAAAAAAAATGTTTGATAATTTGAACAGAAGCAAATACGATCCATATGTGTTTATTTCTATTCTTCTTTGCTTTCTTCTTTTTTTCGTTCGTATTGAAATTACAAAGATAGTTTCTGTTTTCCAAGGAACAATGTCATCAAATAAAAAAAAAACCAAATCAACAATTTTATGAATATTGCTCACTTAGTTACTCCACATTTTTCGATGCGATTTGCTCACTGCATAATATAATCATTTGGCGAAATCGTTATAATCAGGAAATGTATATCATTTCAATGCCCTACATGGATAATGAGCTACGCCATCATTTTATTGATTAGATGTGTAAGAACTTTCATCGAAATATGTCTTTTCATGATAGTAAAATTGTATAATTTCAGATTTTTATCTACATTGAATTACACGATGCCATTGGCTGCAAATGCGACCGCTGTATCAAAAGACGAGTGTCGTGAATTTATGTCCGTCTTTCCAGGTAATGATCGCAGCATGTCATTTTCTTATGAACATCATCTTTTTCAACGGATCGTTTGCATTTGTTTTTAGATCTGGTACGTGATTTGACAGAAAAGGCAAAGAAATATGATTCAAAAGATGCATCAAAATGGTTGGCCAAAGTGAGTGTTGATTATCCAATATCTATGTTTACAATGAATTTTATATCATATTTCAACTTTATTATGTTTATTCTATTCCTCCATTTCAGGCACTCCAATACAATGTTCCCTGTGGTAAAAAGAAGGGGCAATTCACTTAAAAATTGCCTTTCTATTATTAATTAATTCTTATTGATTGTTTTTCGATTATTTTAAATTAATTGTATTCTTTTCTTTTGTGATTCGCTCCTTAGGTAAAAAGAACCGTGGATTGGCAACTGTTCTTGCCTATAAATCATTGGTTGCAAATGAATCACAATTGACACCAGAAAATGTTCGTCTCGCTCATTATCTTGGTTGGTGCGTTGAGATGGTAAGTTATTAAAGCATAAAAACTCCCCTGACACTTTTTGCCGACCGTGCAATTATGTCAAAAATTACAATATAAGCCTCGTATCAATTGATTTCATCATCGCATTTTTCATAATGTGTGTTTTTTTTTTGTAGTTGATTTGTTCAAGAAAATGATTTTAATTAGAATGGATGTTGAATTATAAAAAAATGCGAATAAGTGCCCTTAGTGAAATTTCTGTCATATTCATGAAATATGACGATCTCATCTTAAAATGAAGGTTCGATGAGCTTCGTTTGCATGTAAATTGGTTGTTACCAAATTGATAATAATCAGTATTGTCACAAATTTCTATTTTTGAATTTCTTTTGAATCATCGATCGTGATCATTAGATTATGATGCGTACAAATTGTAAACGATCCCTTTGTGTGCTAATTACGAACAATGTCAAATGACTTATTCCAAAAATAGTTACTCAATAGCATTTCACTGATTCAAGTCATTTAATTTTTCACCCTGAGTTGCTAATGAATTTATTTTTGGTTTTGGTTACTCGCAGCAATCGATCAAACATTTGTTACGATGTTTTCAACGGTTACTGGAGAATTCAATGTTATCAAATCTGTTTACATAATTTATTTTGCATTCACAACTGTGTCCGTTTATCTATTTGTATGGAAATTCATTCGTTTTGTATATTCAATAGAATTGAAACCCCTTTTCTATATTCATCCCAAATAATAAATGATTTATGAGCTTATTTTGTTGTTCAGTTGTTTTTTCTTTTGTGGAATACGTCACTAATCACATGCATTTTTTTTTTGCTTTCATTCCAGTTGCAATCAACATTTTTAATCGTAGATGATATTATGGATGCGAGTGAAACACGTCGCGGTCAACCATGCTACTATAAATTGGAAGATGTTAAATTAACAGCAATCAATGATGCTATTATGATTGAGAATTGCATCTATTATATATTGAAGAAATATTTTAGTCATTTGCCATCGTATATAAAATTGGTTGAACTACTCCATGAAACAATGCTCATTACAACGATCGGACAATCGCTTGATTTACAAACGGCCAATCGTGATGTTAGCTGCTTTACAATGGACCGATATAAATCGATTGTCGATCATAAGACCGCCTATTACACATTCTACTTACCAGTGGCATTGGCAATGCATTTGGCTGGGTAAGTTTTTACATCGATTTTTAAAATTGAAAATATAATGAAAATTCTTTGAAATTATTAGTAAAAATACAAATCGTTTTAATTGACAGATATGAAGATCCAGAAGTGTTTCGACAAGCAAAAACGATCCTTTTGGAAATGGGTCATTTTTTCCAAGTGCAAGACGATTTTCTTGACTGCTTCGGCAATCCAGAGGTGACCGGTAAAATTGGTACCGATATTCAAGACAACAAATGTACGTGGTTGGCTGTGCTATGCATGCAACGTGCCACCGATGCACAAAAACAAATTATGAAAGATTGCTACGGCAAACATGGTAAGCAACAAATTGTTCACTTTCAATGCGAGCGTAAAATAAGTGAAAAATGGGTGGTGAAGATTTTAATTCAAACAGTTGGAAATTTAAAAAAAAAAACATGATAAAATGTTCTCGTCAAAAAATAATATTCCTTATTTTATGCTCGGAATAGTTGATAGCAACAAATTTAGATGTTCTCACATTTTAAAGTGAAAATGAATGGAAATTAATTGAAATATTCATTGGTTTAAACAGAATTAATGGTGACATTCGATTTTTCGGAGTGTTGATCATTTCATTTGGTTTTTAGTGAATAATTTAATTTTTCATTTAAATTCAAACGTTCTTTCAATTGGATTTTTTTTCTATTTCAGATGCGGAATGTATAAATCAAATTAAGCAATTGTACGAAGACTTGGGCATTCCGCATACATACAGTTTATATGAAGAAGAATCATACAACTTAATTAAGACGCACATTCAGCAGACATCTCGTGGTGTGCCACATAGCATTTTCTTTAAAATTATGGATAAAATTTATCGCCGTGAGAGTTAGATTTGTATGGAAAGCGTGTCAGACTAGCCGAACTGTATCGACATCAAGTAAACGATCAACCGATCGAAATATAAAATTATTCAAATTCATTAATTATTAGAAATATGTACGAACTATTTACCATTTTCGATGCAAAATCGGTAGATGAAAACAAACAACAACAAAAAATACGGACATTTCGAAGCAAAAAAAAATTAAAACAGAAGAAAAAGTCATAGATTTATATTATTATTCATATTATTTTTTTCACTTGTGTGGAAATGATAAATTGTCATCGACTGTTTCAATTGTAATGCAATACATATTTGTAATCTTTATATGTTAGTGATACATTTTTGGTATGTTCAAGTCATTCAAAATTCTCTTTTCTATTTGTTTTCTCCTTCGAAAATCAGACGATGAGTATTACTTCGATTTTATTTTGGATAATTTGGCCATAATTTATTGTTGAATGAAGTTAACAAGTTATCAATTAAGCACACTTCACAACCTACTAACCAACATTCAATGTAATTAATAATATTTCATAAGAGAATTACTATTATACGCAAAATACAAATAAAATCATTTGAAAATCTCAATCGAATGCTTCGTTTTATTGAAAAATTGTCCAATTCATTTGTGTATTCTATCTTTTTTAGCAAATCAAAATCATAATGAACTTAAAAATGATGTACTTTCATACAATAAATATTTCATTATTCCATAGAATTTTTCAAATTATTTTATTTTGCTAATGTTTTTTGAAGATATATGCATATTAGGGTGGGTCAAATTATAGGGGGCCGAAAAAATCTCCATGGGCACATCGCGATTCTGGTACTATGGGCCATAACAAGTAT